ATTAGAAATAGTTAATGGGCATCGTGTCATTAGAAATAGTTAATGGGCATCATGTCATTAGAAGTAGTTTATGGGCATCATATCATTAGAAGTAGTTTATGAGCTTCATGTCATAAGAAGTAGTTTCATTAGAAGTAGTTTATGAGCATCGTGTCATTAGAAATAGTTTATGGGCATCGTGTCATTAGAAATAGTTAATGGGCATCGTGTCATTAGAAATAGTTAATGGGCATCATGTCATTAGAAGTAGTTTATGAGCATCGTGTCATTAGAAATAGTTTATGGGCATCGTGTCATTAGAAATAGTTAATGGGCATCATGTCATTAGAAGTAGTTTATGGGCATCATGTCATTAGAAGTAGTTTATGGGTATCATGTCATTAGAAGTAGTTTATGGGCATCATATCATTAGAAGTAGTTTATGAGCATCATGTCATAAGAAGTAGTTTTATTAGAAGTAGTTTATGGGCATCATGTTATTAGAAGTAGTTTATGGGCATCATGTCATTAGAAGTAGTTTATGGGCATCATGTTATTAGAAGTAGTTTATGGGCATCATGTTATTAGAAGTAGTTTATGAGCATCATGTCATAAGAAGTAGTTTCATTAGAAGTAGTTTATGGGCATCATGTTATTAGAAGTAGTTTATGGGCATCATGTTATTAGAAGTAGTTTACGGGCATCATGTCATTAGAAGTAGTTTATGAGCATCGTGTCATAAGAAGTAGTATATGGGTATCATGACATTAGAAGTGGGTTCATTAGAAGTAGTTTATTAGCATCATGTCATTAGAAGTAGTTTACCGGCATCATGTCATTAGAAATAGTTTATGGGCATCATGTTATTAGAAGTGGGTTCATTAGAAGTAGTTTATGGGCATCGTGTCATTAGAAATAGTTAATGGGCATCATGTCATTAGAAGTAGTTTATGGGTATCACGTCACTAGAAGTAGTTTCATTAGAAGTAGTTTATGGGCATCATGTCATTAGAAGTAGTTTATAGGCATCATGTCATTAGAAGTAGTTTATGTGCATCATGTCATTAGAAATAGTTTATGGGCATCATGTCATTAGAAGTAGTTTATAGGCATCATGTCATTAGAAGTAGTTTATGGGCATCATGTCATTAGAAGTAGTTTATGGGCATCATGTCATTAGAAGTAGTTTATGGGCATCATGTCATTAGAAGTAGTTTATGGGCATCATGTCATTAGAAGTAGTATATGAGCTTCATGTCATTAGAAGTAGTTTATAGGCATCATGTCATTAGAAGTAGTTTATGGGCATCATGTCATTAGAAGTAGTTTATGAGCATCGTGTCATTAGAAATAGTTTATGGGCATCGTGTCATTAGAAATAGTTAATGGGCATCATGTCATTAGAAGTAGTTTATGGGTATCACGTCACTAGAAGTAGTTTCATTAGAAGTAGTTTATGGGCATCATGTCATTAGAAGTAGTTTATAGGCATCATGTCATTAGAAGTAGTTTATGGGCATCATGTCATTAGAAGTAGTTTATGGGCATCATGCCATTAGAAGTAGTTTATGGGCATCATGTCATTAGAAGTAGTTTATGAGCATCGTGTCATTAGAAATAGTTTATGGGCATCATGTCATTAGAAGTAGTTTCATTAGAAGTAGTTAATGGGCATCATGTCATTAGAAATAGTTAATGGGCATCATGTCATTAGAAGTAGTTTATGGGTATCACGTCACTAGAAGTAGTTTCATTAGAAGTAGTTTATTAGCATCATGCCATTAGAAGTAGTTTATGGGCATCGTGTCATTAGAAGTAGTTTATGGGCATCATGTCATTAGAAGTAGTTTATGGGCATCATGTCATAAGAAGTAGTTTCATTAGAAGTAGTTTATGGGCATCATGTCATAAGAAGTAGTTTCATTAGAAGTAGTTTATGGGCATCATGTCATAAGAAGTAGTTTCATTAGAAGTAGTTTATGGGCATCACATCATTAGAAGTAGTTTATGAGCATCATGTCATTAGAACAAGGTTATTGGCACTTTTTCGTCATTGAAAGTAATGCCATCAATCCTAATGTCATCGCTGAAAGTCGTCAATAGATTTTTGACATCATTACAAGTAGTCTATCGACATTTTGCCGTCATTGGAAGAACATTTTGTCAGCATTGAATGTAGTCCACTATCATTATGTCATTATTGTCTATGGTCACCGTTTCATCATTTAAAGAAGTCGACCAGCATGATGTCAGAAATCTATCAACATTTTGCTTTTAATACTAATATATACAATTCAAATAATTATTTATAGGAGGATGGAGACAACCTTGTAAAGAAAAATAGCAGTGTTATATTAACAGTGGACATTTTAGATGTTGATGATCAGAGTCCAAGATTCACTCAAACCATATATAGGTTGAATATATCAGAAGATGTAAGATCTGTTATTTTTTTCTAATTTCTTCAAGCTTATTCGATATATTTGATTTGACTTTTATCAAAAGAAATATTCTTTTAGATATACTAAATCATAATGATAATAAAAATGAATCATGGTTCATCATTTAAGTAGGTTGATTTCGGTTTTGAATTTATGTTAATAGTACCCGAGATGTACGAAAATGGCATAAATTATTCAAAAAGAATTGGAGAACTGTAATATTTTTCGCCTTGTTGATAAAGTCTATAATAGGAAATGATATGAGCTGGTGATTATCAAAAAGTTACGCGTCTTGAAAAAGACGAGTCGTCAATGTAATTTTCAAACCTTGGCCTTAGCGGTTATGTTTAACGCCTCATGAGGATACATTTTCTTACGACTATATTTGTGTTTCACTCTTCATGGACACCGTAATTGTAAACCATTCTCATGAAATCTCAAAGAGGATATATAACCCATCTCCCATCGTTGCAAGGTGGTAACCACTTTGGTTCACGGACCTGAAATAATAAGCGGCTTTTTGATCAAATGGCTTGGAACTTGTTATGACGTTTGATGCCTGTAATAACATTACTTGTAGGGAAATATCAAGATTTGAATAAACCGTGTCACTTAGTTCAACTCATGAATTAACTCTCTTATATTAAATATTCCAGAATTACAATAACCGTGTAGTAAATACCACTCCACCTATACTTGCAATAGATCGCGATTCTTTTAATACACCGGTTAATTACAATATAACCACAGGTAAATATCTTCTTTTACACCAGAACTTGTTTTTATTTAATCACATAATCTTGTGAGCTTGATTGCATATCTTCTCGTGATTCCATATTGAGTTTTCAGATTGCAAAACTACTATCTCAAGATTAGTTTGATCTTTTTGACCTTGAGTTCATCATATTTGTTTACTGGATATTTCTAAGCTGATGCTTTGCTTGGGTAGATATACGTTATTCTACGTTGTTTAAAATGTTTTAATTGTAGGTGGTGATGGTATCTTTACGATCCGCCAGACAGGAGAGTTAGTTATAAATGGTCGACTCATCAGAAAAGGAAACCCTTCACTCGCCTTAGGAATACAGGTAAAGAGAAACGGTTTTAGTCCAAATTGCAAAGTCGGCTGTTAGATAAAGGAGACATTCCCTGTCAATGAAGGGTGGACAACAAGGTTAAAATATTACTCTCATCTTCCTTTCACAGGCTTACCAAATAGATCGACCTTCTGATAGAACTGATGATGCAGCAGTTATAATAACAGTACAAGATGTTAACGACCACCATCCTATTATGACCAATGATACCTATATTGCATCAGTTGATGAAGGTTCATTTGGTGATTTCACCATTATTCAAGTCACAGCATCTGATTCTGATATAGTAAGACCACTAATATACTCATTTCTTGTCATTTCGTTATCTCAACTTCCTATGTTCAGGCTTCTGTAATGGCTTTTAAACAGGAAGTGGTTTAATACTCAGTTAGATCAATATTGTTTTTCTTTCTTTTGATACTAAACCATTTTGCGTGACCATATAATTCCAGGGAATAAACAGTGTGTTTCAGTTTCATCTAAATGGTACTGATGTATTTGAGATCGAGACTGTTAATGATGTAGGTTCCATCAGGTTAGCTCGAGGAAAGATTTTAGATCGAGAAGAAACAGAAGTACATAACTTTGAGGTATGCAACTTATTGGTATTGTCGGGATACACTAGGTACTGATTGTCACAGTCACTTGGATCAAAAGAACGTGTGAAAATATGAACATTCGCTGGTATAATGGTGCTTTGGATCGTTACATATCAATCTGTAATTATTGATTTATTTGTTCCAGGTTTATGCCAAAGAATTAGAAACGGACAGTAAATTTGAAAGTAACCGAAGTCTAGTACAGATTATAGTTAATGATATTAATGATAACAAACCAATATTCTACTCCCCAAGCCAGCCATTTACCTTTACTGTTAATAAAACTGCTAAAATTGGTGACCTTGTAGGGAAGGTAGGAGGGTTTGTGATGTAGTATCATTATTTCAAAAATTAGAAAACTTTATTTTTCAAAAATGGTTGCCACATTGCTACCATATTCTTTTGGCATGTCTTTCAATTTTATTTCAATGTAATTCTTTAGTAATGGCTTACCTGTGGTTTCATTAATCTGATTATGATCAACGTTCGGGGCCAATCAACAATTTTAATACGAACAAAATAATATAAGAAAACAGTTTCGGGGTGTCGTTCCATCATTGGTCTTTAACAAAACCTTCCTGCAATGGACTTCCGAAATTTGTCAAAATCCAAAAGTGTCCAACAAAAAAAAGTTTCATCTGAACCAGCACTAGGAAAACGATTTTAGACTATGTTATTTTCCAACATGAATAATGAGGAATACTGTCTAAAGTCTAGTACTAAGTATAAAATTTGTATTCAAGGTATTTGCTAATGATAGTGATATAGGTAATAATGGTGAAGTAAGGTATCAGTTATTACAAGCTGGTGATGAATTCCGTATTAATGTTATTACTGGAGAAATTCTGGTTAATAAATCTTTAATCAATAGAAATGGTATTATAAATGTTCAAATATTAGCTAAAGATTTACCCAAAAAGATAGCTGATACCAGGTAAAGTTGTATTCATTGAAACCTCCTTCATAATCTCCAAAAAGTACTCAGATTGCGTAATATGTGTAACTGAATATTTTCTACACGTTGTAGGTTATTTTAATATGGTAAGACGAAATTATAACATTATAAAACCCTCATAACCTTAATGATACTTACCTAATAGTAATGCACTCCAAACTGTTTCACTTGTTGCTGTTTCAGACAAACAATACAATCAGGTGTAATAAAGATTGTAGATGTTAATATCGGACCACCAAATATAACTAATTTAAATAGTACAATATCAATACCTGAAGACATTCCAATACATACCACAATTTATACAGTTGAGGTATGTATATTTAGTCTAAATGAACTTTCATTGAATACGTAAAAGAAATTTAATTTCAAATTAAATATAAAGCCATAACAATATAATCTTCTATACATATACAGTGGCATTTCTAAGAATATGTCGTTAATTTTGATCACCAGTTTCTCGCGATTTCAGGCAACCGACCCAGATATAACTGATGGAAATAGCTTGCTTTATTATATTGTTTCTCAGTCTTCATACGGGGGTTTCACCATCGATTCATCGAGGTAAGTTCATCTAATAGTATGATCTAAACACAGAATTAAAAAAAGCATAGATCATATATGCTAATCATAATCATAAACATAATCATATATCTGGTAGAATGAAGAAGTTACATCTCCAGTTACAGCAGGAATTAACAATTAACAGAAGAATGTGTTAAGATGGACTGAAAATTTGCTTTTGAAGGCGAAATGTAAGACAGGCAAAACGCAAGGGCATAATTATAAAAAAAAACAGTAGAGAGTATTAAGTGACAAGCTTTGTAAAATCATTCGTTCGAAAGAAGCAGCTGAAGTATACTCGCCTTTTTAATATTTTGCTTTTCAGTGGTACAATCAAAACAAACGATACATTAGACAGAGAAATTATAAGCTTATACAGGTTGTTAATCATTGTATCAGATGGTTCGAAAAATGTAAGTCAATAAATAGCTTTATTGGCAAATATATTATGGAAAACGGTGCATTCATCACCGGATCAGAAAAGGCTAGTTGGGGCGGGACTATTGAAACAAACCATTCAGCTCTTGCTATTAATTGATGTCACAGTATTCTAGAACCATATTTTAAATACTCACTTGTCAGACCAATTTTTTCGCCTTTCTTGCCCCAAATACAGTTCTCTTACCTATTTGACTGAGTACATGCCCTGTAAATTCAAGATTTAAGTTTAATATTATACTTACCACCATCTTTGGTTGCTATATTTCAGTCAAGTCATGGATATTTAACTATAAATATATTAGATATTAATGATCACAACCCTGTATTCTATTTATCAGAATATAACTTTACAATAATAGAAGGTAGTGGACAACTTACAGGAGACCGAAACCCTGTCAATGTAAGTATTTTCACCTTTGACTTTTCATTCATTATTAACGAATAAATCGATATCAGCCATTACTGTCTTTCATCGAGGGACGTAATTCCACACTTAAAGAACGATAGTCATTACGATAATATCTTTTAAAATTGTTATCCATCAATCATGGAAAAGGATATAATGAAAACATCATGGGGGAAAAATGTGTGAAATTTAATGTTTTTCATTTAACTTTTTTGAACCATGGTATTATAAAATTGAAGTGTTTTCTTATGATTTAATGATTTTTTTATGTCAAGATAACGATTACTCTGCCTATTTACGGAACCTAATAGCGGAAAGAGATTACAATTTTCAGTCTTATTTTATACTATTATTTTGGCGATAATGCCTTTTCTTTATATAGGCTTCAGATTCCGACATTGGTTCAAATGCTTTATTAACATATTCCTTATTAACACCAAGGTGAGTATAGGCTATTGATATAGAAATGGTATATGTAGTAGTATTAAATGTCCAAATTGTAAATGAAAACCCCCCAACAAACCGTGTTTCTAAATAATTAGCTGAGTTTCCCTATTAAAGATTATTTTGAAATATTTATATCAGTCATAGTGAAGAGTTGGATAATATGGTTAAAATTATTTGAAAATCAAACTGTTTTTAAAAGATTTATGGCAAATGAAGTTTATTTGTCTGGAGATCCCAGGATTCTCCTAATGAAGGCAGTACTTCAATCTTGACATAAACCAATCTTATATCTTCTATTCAATGGGAGTGTGCCCATTTTAGTTTTCCTCTTTTCGTAGAGGAACCACTACACCATTAGAGATAAATAATACAAGTGGATTATTATCCACTACAAGTTTAATAGATAGAGAAGAAAGAGATGTGTATGATTTGTATGTTATGGCAACAGATGATGGTACACCTAAACGTTCATCTGCTGTATCTGTGGTAGTCACAGTTCTTGATATCAATGATAATTCACCTATCTTTCCTAAATCAAATATCTCACTTAGTTTTCCCGAGGATTCATATCCAGACTGTTTTTATAAAGCAAAGGTTAGTTAAACTCGCCATGTTATAGCGGGGTGTTATTTTCTGATTTCTTGTTAGCTAAATAAATTACGTTGACAGACAAACCTGTATAATTAATTAATGTCACTTATGATTTTGCTACAAAAGATCACGGATGTACTTCTTTAGCATCCAATTATTTGAAGTAGGATAAGTATGGCACTCAGGGCTACAGACAATAACAATATTTACATTCTATGAACACTAAATAAAAGCTATTTTATTGATAAGCAACGGATAAAATTTATTTAATTATTTGCAGGCGACAGATCGTGATATCGGTGTAAATAACCAAATTTTGTACACTACCAATGATGCTACTATTATAGAAGTTAGTTCTGATGGTGACGTATGTGTCAAAGACAATCAAAGTTTACCATTAGGTCCTATTTCCATCACCATTATAGCCTATAATATCAAACCATATATTGGATGTACAGAGTGTAATAATGCTTCTTTATATCTTTTCATAGAAGTAACGGTAATTATGTTTTCTCATAACGTATTTTTCCGAGATTATAGTTAAAAAATTGTATAATTGCAAATGCACACATCAAAATATCAAATATATTATTTTGCTCTAATAACATTCATCACAGACACATTAAGCATACAATGGATGCTATAACAATTGGATTGATGAACTTGCTGAAACTCTGAAACTATCTTTGACTTTTAGTCGTTGATGCTAAAATCTTTCGAAATGTTTGTAAAAATATTTTTTTAAACTTTATTTATTTGTAGGATGTCAATAACAATGTTCCGATATTTGATCAACCATATTATAATTTCTCCATAGATGAAGGCCTGAACACTCACCAAAATCTGAGGTTTTTATATTATCTTCTTATCTAAATGTTTGGATTAACAACATATGTAAGGATACATACAAGGAAATGATCAACCAGTAGAAAATAATCGGGTCTCATATAAATCCTTATTATCGAATATTAATTAATTATGAAAACCAAACCTTTTGGTGCAAATTTTCTCCAAACAAGGTATTTCGAACCATATTAGAAACAAGCTATTTCGAACCATATTAGAAACAAGCCATTTCGAACCATATTAGAAACAAGCTATTTCGAACCATATTAGAAACAAGCTATTTCGAACCATATTAGAAACAAGCTATTTCGAACCATATTAGAAACAAGGTATTTCGAACCATATTAGAAACAAGCCATTTCGAACCATATTAGAAACAAGCTATTTCGAACCATATTAGAAACAAGCTATTTCGAACCATATTAGAAACAAGCTATTTCGAACCATATTAGAATCATTTCCATTTGATATTTCAGAGTTCATGCGAAGGACAATGACACGACATCTTTATATCAGAATGTATTATATTCAGTACTACCAGATATAGATAATAGATTTACTATAGACTCCATAACTGGACAGATACACTTTAATACTGTACCTGATTATGAAACAAAGAAGATTTTCCAACTGACAGTAAGTTCTAGGCCACCTATTGAAATTATACTGCCCTTTCCGAATTATCCCGTAGCGCAAACCAAATAATGAGACATATAGTCAGTCAAGGGGTAGGCTACTTTGTTATATTTTTTCATGGTTTTCTACAATATGTGTAGAATTGTTATCACTTTTTGAGGCTTGGAATAGGGTTTAAATCAGATTTCTGTGACATATAGGTTGGTGCGAGAGATACAGGTCAGTCAGAAGTACAAACAACAGTTAATGTTACAATTTATATCAATGATGTTAATGATAATTATCCTGTATTCTCGAAAGGTAAGTTCATTACTTTTAGCTTGGAAGTCACCCCCTCCGATTTTCCAAAGAACTTTAAATGAAATGTATTATAAAATATGATTTTTTAGAAAATCGATTTTGTTACATTCTGTCATATTAACATGTAAATCATTGATAATTTTCATTTAGACTTTTCATTAATATTGAATACTTGAATGTCCTGTGGATATCATTTGCAGCATTCTATAAATGAAATGAGTATCCTGAGAAGGGTACTTGTCTTGAGCTGTAATGATTTTTCAGACAAATATGAATGTACTGTGTATGAAAATCAAACTTCTGGATTGATTCCTGAATGCCAAGTAACTGCTACAGATAAAGACACTGGCAGCAATCAAAAAATAGTCTACTCTATTCTTGAAAATGTAAGTTGCTTCCAATAAATGACACCCTTCGCTTTTTTACAATGAAAATTACTCTAATCAAATGAATAGTTCTATTGCCGATTTAACTTTATTCCTGAAAATATAAGTGACTCTTGATCATCATGATCAACATCGAAAATGGTGCCATTTTTACTAAATGTTTTTCAATTGAATTAAGATTTTTATTATAGGTTCCATTTTCAATCGATAGTAATACTGGGAACGTGAGTGTAAATGGTGGTTTGGACTATGATAATGGTTCTAGGTTCTATACCATTAGAATAGAAGCTAGTGATAATGGTTCACGAAAATTATCCAGATTAACTCAAATGGTCATAGAAATAATCAACACAAATGACAACGCACCAACCTTCAGAAATACCCCGTATAATTTCACAATATTAGAAATACAACCAGCTGGTAGTTTAGTTGGTGTTATTTCTGCTGTTGATGCAGATCAAGACGATTTAACATATTCTATGAAATCAAATATTCGAGGTAGAGGCCTTTTGTTTCTTTAACGGCATGTTGAAGTTTCATGATTGTAACCATCGGGTAGACATTCTCTCTTGTCAATTATATTACTCCAAGACAAGATGCATTAACATGCACTTCAAAACTCACATCCGGACTTACCTATTCTTTGACGTTAGATTTCAGAATTACTGACCGTGGTGCTATCTACACCAAAAGATACTTGGACCTGGACATACCTAATGCCATATCTCAGTATAATTTAACTATTGATGTATCAGACGGCAACTATAGAAGCACAGCGTTTAGTTTAGTAACAGTCCATACTGTGAATGAATATTCTCCAAGATTTACTCAGATATTTAATGGTAATGTTTCTGAAAATGCAGCACGAGAAACAGTCATAACTCAGGTGAGGTAACGATCTGGCAACATAGTTTAGGGTAGACAGTCTTCACAGAATTGCTTATTTGGAGACTTTAGATTAGATTTAGATGAGATTGCTGAAACTAAAACATATCTAAACGTAAAGTGAGATGGATGTTGGTTTTGTTACAGACACCACAACTTTATTGTTAGTTCCACTTCATTTGACCGATTTCGACGTACGTTGTAAAATTTCTTTTGTTAGGTGGAAGCTGTAGATAATGATACAGGTATTGATGGAGATGTACATTACTCATTAACTGACCACTCTACACTGATCATATTCCACATAGATAACTCAACTGGTGTATTAACACTCAATTGTGATAGTTGTTTAGACTTTACTAACAAATCTATGTATGAAGTCATAGTTCAGGCCATAGATGGTAAGTGATGGAAACAGCTCTTTTGAAAAATAAGTTGTAGTTAAGGATCTACAACCTAATGTTACTTCTCTTTGAAGGAGTCTACTTCTATTCTAACTTTACTCCGATTTTGGACGAGATTTTTGACGGAATTGTCTGGCTGGTACGGATTTTTATGAAGATAGATAATTGTTATATAAAGCGCGTAATACAAAACTTTTGCAACAGATTAAGGCATGATTTAAAGATCTATTTTTAGGTGGATCTAATCCAAGACTGTCTTTTACAACGGTAGAGGTAACAGTTCAGAATATCAATGATAAAGCACCACGATTCTCATCTTCGCATTATTCTACAACATTAAAGGAGAACACTGCTATTAATACTACGATTTTCAGAGTAAGTTGCATCAAAATCTATATAAGACCCCAGTCTTCACCCATTTTGCTCGGCGATCCAAACCCAAGCTTCGTAAGCTGCGACCCTGAAATATGCCAGATTCTGGATCAAGAATACTATCCAGTGTTCAAACGTTATTTATTATTACATGCAGTTATGTAACACTAACATCAACATATTACTTGGAATTATCGTTAATATCGTTATAAATGAAATGAAATGGAGTTTTACGTCCTACTTTTCTAATGAAGACGGGCAACGCCAGGCAGGGTGCAATGAGGGAAATTTTGCCAGGACAGCGGCATTAGCCTGCTCTTTTTCGATTTTCAACTGTCGAGGGATCTTTAACGTGCACAGCCTGTAGCACACGGGTCCTCGGTTTAATGTCCCATCCGAACGACTAGACGCTTTTTCCATGTCAGCCCCTCTCACCTGCATTTAATATCGTTATAGACGAGTGTAACACTACAGTTCTTCCTTTTGTCCTTGGCACTTTTTTTATATTCCGGATGTCGTGGCAAGTTTCATTAGGTTGGACAAATTTTGTGGCGGCTTTGGTGTTTGTCATCCCTTAAAAGGCCCCTTCGCAAACATACGTCACATCAAAACCTTCTCTGCCATTGCTTTGGGTTTTGGATATTGAATACCACTCAAACTCAGCCAGAATTCCGCTGCATATACGTGTTGACATTTCACACATACCGCCCGTCCATGGACCTCTTTCACCCAGTACTTTACCAGCCAACTGGGCACGATGCTGCGTTTAGGAGGCATCCTGTTTCGAGGCACACTGATCGACAGGCGACCATTTCTCAGAATGAATCACGATTTCCAAGAATCCGAGACCATAGTTCTTACTGCATCCTACTGTACGAACCAACAAATCTGTTTGCGACCCTAGACAGACCCTGCGACCCATAAGTGTGTGCTATCGACCCGATTTTGGGTAGCGGCCCATGATTTGAATAGCGGGGATTTAGAATTAAAGTAGGCTATTCGATTGGAATCAAAATTTGCAATTTTTTGGTTATAAAGCTGTGTCACTTATTCAAAAAATTCCACATCAAAATTCTATTCATAGAATTGGTGTGACCAGATATTTTACTGAAATATCTATTTTTTCAACATGTATTTTCCTCCTATTAGATTAAGCAAATATTTATTTTTAGGTGATTGCGTCTGATGCCGATACACCAATTGATCAGCTTACATTTAACCTGCTAAATCACCACCAACAGTTTAGCCTAGCTGGGCCAATTGTGGTCGTCAAATCACCTGTAGATGGTGACCTACTGAAACACCCAACGTTGATTTTAAATATTTCTGTTAGCGATGGAACATTATCAGCATATACTTTGTTAACTATAACTATCTTAGATGAAAATGAACATCCACCAGTTTTAGTACTTCCAAACAATAGATCGTGGTCTTTGAGTCTTCCAGAAAATGTAACAATAGGTCATGAAGTGGTAACAATAGGTGCTTCCGATAAAGATTTCTCTAATAATGGGTTTACCTTTTGGTTGACCAATGAAGATGATAAATTTAAGATAAATGTATCTAGTGGTTTACTTCAGGTGACAAATAGATTTGATAGAAGTATTAAAGATTCTTATAATGTAACCGTCCATGTCAGTGATCATGGAGTTCCTCCACTATTTGCTGAACAAGAAATGCATATAGAAATATTAGACAGTAACACATCACCGGTATTCGACAATGCATCATATACGTTTAGTGTGGTAGAAAATGTTAAAATCGAGTACAAGGTTGGAGCTGTTAAAGCTACTGATAAAGATTACGGTTCCTCGGGTCAGATTATCTATGACATTGTATCTGGAAACATAGGTTCCGCATTCCGAATCAATTCTTCCAATGGACAATTATTTACTGATAAATTACTGGATCACGAAATTGTGAATTATTATACATTAACAGTTGAAGCGAAGGATATGTCAAGTATACCAAAGAGCAGCACAGTTCTTGTTGAAATAGAGGTAGAAGATATATTTGAAGCACCTAGGTGGCCAGCCACCCTTCCAATACACTATGTATCTAAATCTAAGGAATGTGAAGCGTCTCAAATAACAGCCATATCGTCAGATGCGTCATCTTCTGATAGTGGAACTAGTGTAATTTACAAACTCCTCAATTTTAATGATATTTTCCAAATGGATAATAAAACGGGTGCATTGCAACCCGCTTCTGATATAAAAAGCGGAAATTATACTCTTATTTTACAAGCCTGTAACAGCAGGAATATCTTGCTTTGTAGCAATGCAACATTAAACGTCATCGTTACAGAACAAGTGCGTTTGATATTTTGTCCAGTATTTGTTCCTGTTCATGTACCAGAAGATTTGAAATTGAACACGACAATAACAACTATGAACACAACATTGGATGAAGAGACTAATCAATTTTCAATTATTGAAGGAAATGATGGTTATTTTTCGCTCGGTTTAGATAATGTGAGTAGAGTATCATTTTCTACATCATGAATGTTCGGACAATGTAACACAGATAATTACCATCTTGTCCTTGGTCTTTGAAATTATAAACTTTGTCTTTGCGCTCAGTATGTCAGCTAGTTCATGTCCTTGCTGATAAATGCCACATACGAAACTACGCCTCTAACATAGTTCTGTTATTTCTTCGTAAGAACGACACGTGGTTTCGTTCACCAATGCCAGTAACAGTCGACTTTTTTCTCTCAAGCCTTCATCATAACAGAACAACATTATACATACACCATTATAATTTGTAATTTGACATCGGTCTAATTCCAGGGTGTACTGAAACTAAAAAAGGCATTAGACCGAGAAACGGTCGACACGTACACATTATCTATACAAGCAGTTAATCTGAATAACTCTCAGACAGCGACAGCTCAGGTTAGTCATCACCATCATTATTTGGTATAGTGTTAGAGGCCTAATTTTATCTCTTTCGGGATTAGGTCTTGAGACAGCTAGATCTGGATTTTCAAAAAATCGGCTTTAGAATGTCAAAAGATTGTAGTCTAATTATGTCGATTCTTTATTTAGAATTCAATCATGTTATGTATGTTTTATTCTACTGGAACTTGAATGTTCCTCTTCAGTGTTTTTGTTCCTTGTCAATCAAAGCATAATCAACGAATATTTAATTATTAAAAACAAATTAATTGCGATACAATCAATATTATATAGGTAATAATACGTGTAACAGATATAAATGACTGTCCACCGTATTTTCTACTGAAAACTTATTACGGAGAAATAAGTGAGGACGCCAGCACTGGAGTTGATGTGTTTCTTGCTGCCTCAAACCGACCTCTGATAGTAAATGCAAAGGATAATGATCTTAATCCGCAGGTAAATTGATTTATTGGTTATAACATGAAAAACATTCAAGTTGAATGGATTTTTGAATAGCTCAAAGATCACATATACAACCATGTTTGAATGCTGTTGGTAGACAATTGAACGTGACACAAAGTTGTGGACCTACACCACTAGGCATGGGAAGGAGAAACTTGCCATTAATGTTATAAATGCATGTAACTATAAGCTTGATTGATTATAGCACCCGAGAATTACATTTATTGAAGGTGCAATCACTTATTTCCTCATTTTTATTTCAGTTATCTTATTCTGTTGAACCACAATCCGATTACTTTAATATTACCGGTAGTACTGGTTTAATCAGTTTAGCACGTAAATTGGATAGAGAAAATATTTCTTCATTTAACTTTGAAGTAAGTATAACTTTCTTGTGACAACATTTCGTCTATTGCTTTTGCGTAGCTACAATATCGTACAAATGTACTTGAATCAACATCTGACGGTCATTTGAAGGTAGTCTACTTGTGTCATGAGTTTTAATTATATAGCTGAATACTCATTGTCTATGTCCAGACTCCATTTAACATTGTATTGTAGGTAATAGTATCTGATGGAAAGTTTACAAACTCGACAAAAGTAGTCATAAAAATTCTGGATGTAAATGATATGGTTCCTGTTTTTGATCATCTAGTCTATAACAAATCTGTTTTTGAGGTAAATACGTCGCAAACATGCTCCATCTTAGATTAGGTTTGTAGTAGAATCACTTTAGGTTATTATGATTGGTATTCCTATGTATATGTGCAAATAGGCAACCGAACAGCTCATTATTTCATTTTATTTTGGGTTTTTTACTTCATCAGTATGTTCTTCCCATATTTTCTATCCCTAAATGGTTTTGCATGGTATCGTTTTTATCTTTTCTTTGAGCTTGTTTTTTCTTTTCTGTTTCAATCAAATTTCTTTAAACATTTTATTAAAATGGTTTCCCTTCAAATGTATCCAAGTCGCACTAACACTTATTAGTTGAAGCAAGGGACAAGACTCGTGTTTAATGCTTCAGACTATATAAATGTAAGCTAATTATAATGATTTCATTGATTACCTTGTCCTTGTATTTGATCTGTCAAATTGAAAAAAAGTGGCAGACTACGTGATTTAAACTTTGTCTTAATATTTTAGAATATAAGTACAAATTCTGTGATATTGACAGTCCAAGCTACGGATCAAGATATTTCTGATAGAGGGAGTTTAGCATATAAACTTAACAGTAATGGTATTCGACTTTTTTTTAACCTCAACTATAATTTTAAAATAAAGATAAATAAAAGTTTTTGTTAGACTTATTCGCCTTTTAGGAGGTTACTTCACTTATACGAATAAAATTATTATTGTTTGATTTTGTTGCATGCATTTCCCTATAAATTATGGTTGTTTTCTTTCAGTGAGTGAATTTAAAATAAATGCCCGAACTGGAGAGATACAAGTTGTAGATGATTTAGATAGAGAGACTACATCAGAATATAATATCTCTATTGTCGCAATTGATAATGCTGGACACAATGTAAGTTTCTTTATTAAAGTTATAATAACAGCTCTGTCATTGTGTCGTTTATTACAAATGAAGAAATGATGCAATAATTTTAATCAATTAATTATTTGTAGGCTACAACTGAAGTGTATATAGATGTTTTAGATGTTAATGACAATTCACCAAAGTTTTACCAAGATATATATAATTTCTCTGTTCAAGAAGGTATTTAATTTCATCTTTCTGTAATCTTAATTTATTATATAGTGAGTTTAAAATTTAAATTTGAATATTTAAATGTGTATCATTTGGTTTAGAATGTCTTTGGGTCCATAACGATTACAGTTTTGACAATTTCACATTTGAATTGAAAACATTTTCTTCTGTAAAATCATAATATCTATAACAAGCAGTGGCGTAGGGCCTATCTAGAAACTGTCTGAGTGTCTGAGTAAAGTGTTCTGTTTTTTTTTAGGTGACCATAGTGTGAATAAAACTTTCATGGTAGATGCCAATGATGATGATATTGATGAAAATAGTAGATTGAAGTTTAGAATTTCAAAAGGAAATACAGGAGACTTCCATATCACGTCATTTAACAATCGGGTACTTCCTATTTTGGGAAATTTTAAAACTGAATATGATATATACTTTACTGCTGTTGTGAAAATGATTAATACATGAAAAAGATCAGATATGAAAAAATGAAAAAGATAATACATTTTTTACCTCAAGTCTAGAAAGTTAAGTTAAATTCGGCACCGTGAACCAAAACTTTAAATTATTCTTTTCAAATTTCAGGCTAATATTACAATTGTCAATGCTTTAGACAGAGAACAACAAGGTTTGGAGTATATAAATGGAATAGCTATATACAATTTAATTATAGAAGCAACAGATTCGGGAGAACCACCCCAGACGGTAAACAAAACATCTTGTTCAGTTCACCAGTATAAGTTAAATCTCATTTAGTCCACTGTTAGCCTTTACATTTATTGCTCCCGATTTTGTCATGCTTTGAACTGGCTTTTTGGTTTACTGAATGGTATCTGTTGCACGGGATTTTAGTTCTTCAAAGAGAATTGAAGGCACTATGATAGAACACATCCTTTACATTGCACAAATAAAGATTCTACTTAAAAATTCGAGCCGTTACACAACGCAACAGGACGTTGGATTGGATTTCAATTTCAGGGCTTTTGTAAAATTAATATTCAAGTCAGTGATATCAACGACAATCCTCCAAGATTTGAAAACTCACTGTTGAAATACGTTGGTACTGTGGAGGAAAATTCAACATCGGGGACACCAGTAGTTTTAGTAAGTAAATCATATATTTATCACTTCCATGTTAGATTTTTCACCTAAAAGATTAGGAATAATTTATTTCAAGGCTACAAAAAAAAAATTCATTGTTATGTTTTTAAGGAACCAGCTCTTTCGGTAACTGATATAGACTATGGTATTAACGGTGTTTCTGGTTTGGTGTATTATCTGTCACCAGTTTCACTTCCATTTTCTATCAATAATACCACAGGAGAGGTAACAGTATCATTAACTGGTGATATGACTATAGATAGAGAAACAACAACACATTACGATCTTAGGGTAACCTATTTTATATAATTACAAAGTCAGAATCATGCGAAGTAAAAGAAAGAAAGACAAAACAACAATGATTACCATGCTGTTTATTTAATTTCACTGTTCTACTTATTCATTTCGTTAAATAAAAATTTAAGCATAATAGACCCCTTCTTTATATGGGCGCAGCCTCTTATTCTGTGCTACGCAAAGCAAATTAGGCTGCTTAGTAGAAGAATGATGATTCACTCGAAACTTACCTATAGGAAATATACTTTTATTTTTAATACTAAAAAGATGTCAAACGATTTTCAGATAAATGTTCAAGACCATGGAGGATTAAATGCAAGTAAAATATTATCAATAACAGTGTTGGATAAGAACGATGAAGCGCCACAATTTGTACCAGCACACTACAGATTCAATATCAGTGAAGACTCTGGACCATCTACTAGTGTTGGACTGGTATCAGCCTTTGATAAAGATAATGATGGAAATTCTAGTGTTAGATATATCTTAGATGTCAATGGTGATGGGAGATTCTTTATTGATGGTTTAACAGGTAACATGACATGCTCTCTTTTAAACATCAAAATTAATAAGAATCACCTTATTGAACACTTTGGGAAGTAAACCAATACATCTTCCCATTTGGGTTCACTGGTATATATATATATATATTTGAGACTACAGCATATATATATATGTGCAAAAACATATATATATATATATATATATATATATATATATATACCAGTGAACCCAAATGGGAAGATGTATTGGTTTACTTCCCAAAGAGTTCAATAAGGTGATTCTTATTAATTTTGATGTTTTTGCATATATATATATGCTGTAGTCTCTGTCTGGTGAGTCAAATAGTAAGTGGATTTTCACATTTTAGGTGTTATTCGAGTTGCCGGTGGATTAGATAGAGAGATAGAAGACAAGTATGTTTTAAAAGTTGTAGCTGAGGACCAGTCTGGTTACACCGGTTCAGCTTCCGTGGTTATTTCTATAGAAGATGCTAATGACGAACCTCCCAAATTTACACATGATGTTTATAACTTTACAGTACCAGAAAATATAGACAATATTACCATAGGAGCTGTAGAGGCAACTGACAGGGATATTGGTTTTAATGGACAATTAACATTTTCTGTCACTGATCCAGGTACATGTAATAATGTATAGAATTTCCAAACGTATTTCTCACATAATTGGTTATGCAAGTATGAGAAACATATCCCCAACACGTATTAAAATGCAAGGTCATGGTGAGGCTATTTGACCATTTAAAAAGATTTAAAAAAAAAAAAAAAAAAAAAACAAAACCCAAAAATAAAATCCCCCCCCCCCCCCAAAATGAATTCGGAGATATTTTGTAAAGATCCCCAAAAATCACAAATTCAACAATAAGGATTATGCGTTTATTTCAGTGTTTTCCATTGACCAAAATGGTAGTATAACGCTGAACAAAATGTTTGACAGAGAAAATATGACAGAATATAAGCTGATTGTAACAGTACATGATGGTGGTAGAAAGAGACAGCTCACAGCAACAACTACAATAGTTATATCTATTACTGATGTTAATGACAATGACCCTGTCTTCTGCTTAGAACATACTTGTCCAATACATACTTATAATACCACAATTGTAAATGAATTACCAACAGGATCATTTGTATTTTTGGTTGCCACTAAGGATCAAGATTTTGATAGTAATGGAACGGTCAGTTATCAGTTAATTGGGGAAACGTCAGTATTGTTTAACATTGGACCCACCAATGGTTTGATTACCACAAAAGGATTTGATTTGAATGATTTAGAAGCCCGTCGTTTTCTATCAAATAATGAAACTAGCACACCTACTATAAGGCTAGAGATTGTGGCAGTAGATGGAGGAGGTAGAAATCAATCCGCCTACCTGGAGATATCTATATTAGTTATTGAAGCTGAAGTTTTGAAATTTAACAAAACAAGTTCTAAATTTATGATTCATGAAAATAAACCCAAAGGTAGGCTGAATTATTTTTAAATCAGACAATCTTAATTATTGACCTGAATGGTTATATACTATTCCATTGTTAGTAGGCCTACAATTAAAAGATCATCAGCGGTCGCAATGTATAGGGTTTTTTTTAGATATCGAAACTTAAAGGGACATTCCGCATTTTTCGTGGGTACACATTTGTAAAAACTATACACGAATCTAGCGAATTATGTCCCTTACCGTATCTGAAAGTTTAAAAAATCCAGCTGTTGAGATTTAACGCCAATACTATTTAAAAACATTACTAAAGTTTTTATGTTCGTTATGCTTTTTGGAAGCTGTTAGAAAACTACTGTGTGGATTTAAGTAAAATAAACGCCTCATAAACGCCTTATAGAGAAACATGTCTCCTATGTATTCTAAAGGTTTCAACAAATAATATCGCGCCATTATAAAGCCAAACGCAAATAGGTCAATTTGTAACCCTTTTAAAACAAATTCAGTTTGATAAAGTAGATATATACATGTAAATAGCATAATTTAGAAATATTTCCAGGTATAATTTACGAAGTTTTTGATAATGAAAACTTTTTACAAAAAGCGGAATGCTATTACAATGTACATTATATAGGTACCTCTGTTGGTAGTGTGAGTGCTTATCTGGGTAATGTAACAGGCGTGAAGTTAACCTACTCCGTTCTTGAAGATGATGCAATTTTCTTTTCGGTCGAAAGAACATCCGTAAGTATAGATTATCTTCGGTATTCGTTTTGAAATTGATATAATATATAAAATTACAATGCCTTAGAAAAAAAAGAAAAGCGAAGCAATCAAAAGAGAGAATCTGACATATCTACTATAGTCTACTATACACTTTGTTGTTTCAGGGAATCATCAAGACAAAGGCGGTCTTAAATAGGGAACTAAATGATAAGTATCTGTTTGTTATTCAAGTAATAGATGACAGGAATCCACAACAGACAGCTTTTACTCAAGTGAGTGATACATTACACTTCAGTATAATCTGCTAAAGCATTACAGCTTCCATGCAATTTTAGGGCTGAGAAAAATATTCCAAAATTCCATGATATAACATCTAACCCATTGAATCCCAAAAACCCATTGTTTGATAAATCCGTCAGTGCTTTCGTTTGTACCTTGTGACAACGACTCTACAATCAAACTATCGCTTACTTTTTATATAATCTATAGGTCCATGTGACAGTTGTGGATGAAAATGATTCTACACCTAAATTTGACCAGTCATCGTACAGTCAATCTATAGTTGAAAACATCAGTAACGTTACAGTTATATCTGTTACTGCTAGAGATTTAGATAGTGGAAGGAATGGTGATGTTATATACTCTATAGTTCAAGGCAATCAGGGTATGTCTTGTCTTACAAATTCTCTTATTGCCCACATCGAAATAGCGAAAAGAAACTATGTAAGGAAGTGTACAACCTGTACAAAAGCTCGAGTATGTTGCAAACATGGGACGCTTCTTTTTTCGCTTGGTAGAATTCTTTTTTCTTCTGCCCCACTGTTATCAGCCTGATTGGGTTTGTTGATTCAGATGATATGTTTCAAATTGATGAAATAACTGGTGATTTAAACCTTATGAAGCCGGCTGATAGAGAAGAGGAAGATGAATTTAATATTATTATCATGGTATGTTATATGTGTTCACTAACTGTGTCAACTGAAATACATTCAAGTAAAATAGCGATTACATGTATTATCCAGCAATTAACCAAAAGAGTTGGCGTCTTGGTTTTGAGTTATATAATGTACATAATCTAAAAGCAGAGTAAGAACTAAAAGTTAAGGTGAAAATTGGATCGCTTACATCAATGATCTAAAAAAATGAAGTTCGGAAAGCAAAGATTATTGAAACAATTTTAACACAATTTTTGTTTTTTGTTTAACCTCTAAGCTGCTTTTAGCCATTAATGCTGTGTTGCTTCTTGTTTTAGGCTAGTGATTTAGGGTCGATATCTCTGAACTCTACCGTTGACGTTACCATACTAATAGAAGATGAAAATGATAATGCTCCTGTTATAAGTATAGAGAAAACTGTTATTTATGTTAGAGAGAGCAAGAGACAGGTCACTCAGGTCAGTTGTGGTCAATAACACACTACAAATAGTTGACCAGATTGTCAGATTGTCTTCAGCTACATAACGCAAAATAAACACACCGACTACGAAAAGGGAGAAAGGGCTAATTATAAATAAGGAACCTCGTCAATCAATTCTGACAACATTGGTTCTGCATGTAAAATCAGAAACTATAGAGCCTAACACTCACCAGAGCACCCATCACATTATGGGAAGATCTGGTTGGTCTTCAATCACACTTCATTTTCATCTCTTCTCAGCTTTTTTGGGTGCTTTGGTTAGTGATGGATATATTTGAATCAACAAAACTGACATTATAAACAAACAAACAACATATTTTTTTCAGATCATTCAAATTAATGCCACAGATGCTGATTCTAATTTGAATGGTGAAGTATTATATTCCATATCAACGGGAGATAAGAACGTCTTTCAAATTAACCCTATCAGTAAGTAGGCACTGTTCAGTAGTAACGTCTAAGGGGCATAAAATGGGAAAAATCTTTGATCTTTGAAAGACACAATTCAGTGTTTTCTTGATCTTCAAAATGTCAAGCTATTACAAGCTCAGCAGAACCTTGACTACAATGGCCACAATTCTTGTATCACTGAAGATGCAGCGATTTGATTGGATTGTACTGTAACGAATACAGTCAATCAGAGCTCTCGACAGAAAGTCTGTAAATTAGCCATAATATTACAAAATGAACATCCTATCAGACTAACAACATGTCTATTGTGTTACAGATGGATGGGTGTCGACAATGAGATCGTTATTAACAAAAGACGAGACAGAATATAAACTAACAATACTGGCATATGATCTTGGTCAACTACCATTGAATTCCTCGATTGATCTCATCATAAGGATAATAAATAGCACAACACCACAGTTCTCAAGAGATACATATTCAATTGATGGCTATGTGGGTATGAAATCTGGAACAGTTCTCAATCTCAATTTAACAGCTGGCACAGGACATTATGATTACCACATTGTTAGTAAGTACACGCATTATTCATTAAATCAAAACGTGTCATGTGTTTCAACATATATTATCCTAGTTTCGAATCAAGATAATTATATTTTTGTGCAAGTTATTTCCCGTGAAATGAATTATGTGTTAAACACTTTAAACATGAGGCAAAAAATAACACCTAGCCTTTGTGTTTCGCATTTACAACGAGAGATCGTTGCGTTACACCAAACTTTTGATCAAATGTTCGACTATTATTTTGTTTTCATTCGTTAATATATATTATTATTAAAACCTTATTATACAGAAGGCAATATAGATAAGATGTTTAGTATTAATTCTACGACCGGTCAGATATCGCTAGTTAAAGATGTCAAGGATCAAAGTGTATATTCCCTGCAAGTTGAAGCTGTTGATTTAGCTGATAAAGAAAGTAAAGACACTGTCAATGTAAGTAGGGACAATAATCAAAAAATCATATTACTTTAATTCAAATTGATTTACATTTTTTGGTCAAGGCAAATCTGTGGAACTCGCCATGTCGTCAAAATTCCATTGCTGTCCCGTTTGTTACAAGCGATTTAGTATTTTACTGAGCAAGATCCAAATATTTTAGAAAATTTCTTGCATTTCTATTTTGTTTAGGTGATAATTTCTGTGCGTCAACCAAATGTAAAGTTTGATGAAATTGAGTATAAAGTCAACGTCAAAGAGAATCTACCAAAAGACTTTCTAGTCATTGATTTAAATACAACAGTAGAGTTTGAAGGCATTGGTGTATTGTATAGATTAGAAGGAGGTTTGTAATTGTAAACGTTTAGTCGAGAATAACAGTAATCTATAATAGACTGGACAAAATACAATCGAGAACATAGGCTACTCCAAAGATGTGATAAAGGGTAGATAAAACTATGCCATATGGTGCTTAACATATAAAGGTTTCGCGAAAGATCCTTACCCAGATTCCACCATTTTGTTTTGATTCTTGTAACTCATTTTGTTCTCATATTGTTTTAGATGATGACCATTTTACAATAGATAAAGATAATGGGTCTATATTTACTAATACATCATTAGACAGAGAAATTACCTCACAATATATACTAATAGTCAGGGTTACTAGTCTTATAGGATCATCAAGACGTAGAAGAGAGGGTAGGTATTTACCACTCTGAAATGTCTGAGCCTGAGTATGAATAACTGAACAAATGTATTCTTTTTGTACAGCAGCTCCTGATAAGCAGATTTGACTTTAACAGTTTTCATGTTTTATTGTAAAGTGCTATTCATACATGGGCAGAAATGCCAAACTGTCTGAACCAAATTTGATGTAGAAATACCACGAACTAGATAGGGAAGTTCCCTCTTAAATGATTCTTATATAAATCGATTTAAAAATGTTATTCCAACATAATTTTGATATTTTTTGTTGTAGCCAAATCTGATACAACTCGTATTATAATCAGAGTAGATGATGAAAATGACAATCCACCATATTTCCCTTACCAATCATCAACCTTAGAACTTAGTATACCACAAGCAGCAAAACAAAACTACCATCTTACAACACTAAAGGTAATATAGACACGTATTGAGGGAAGGTCAAAGAAAAATGCTAATGGTGCTGGCACACTAACAGTCTTTGTCGCCGATTTTTGCCGGCCGGCTACTCGAATCTTGCATGATCCGCAAGTGATTATCGACATACTCGAAAATGAGCGACTGGGGATTAATTGTCTCTTTTTGTGCCCGCAGCCGATCGGCAATACTTATGACAACTCTAATCGGCGGCAAAAATCGACGACCAAGACCGTTTGTGTACCCGTGCCGTAAAATAGGGCTAGTTCAACTTGTTTGGACAATAAAACTAATATAAGAAAGTTGAGATCATCTTATGAGCTAACCCAATCAACACTTTTGTTCGTCATTGCCCCGGGACCACTGCCACATTTCCATGCGGTCGTATTAAACCCCTGACAGGAATTAATCACACTAGGAAAGTGGTGGTTAAGGAGTTAAGCAGGTGTGATCAATTTTCTTTCTTAAAATTGTTTACTCACACACACACATCAGAAGTAAAAAATTTTCCTAATTAATGAGTCCAATCAAAAAGAATTTGGGCTCTATTTAAATAAAATCCACGGATGTTCCCTGTGAGGTGGACATGCCCTGTTTTCTACTCTGCAAAAGGGATTTTAACTAGAAATACCAGTAATACATGCAATAATATTTATTTGGTATACTTATGAGTAATAAAGTTTTGAGCTTCATGATAAATAATGAGTATTTTTTTACTTATTATAACTCAATATTTGTCTTGGAGATCCAACAAAGTTCCATGTTTCGTCAAATATTTTTAAGGCCAATGATCCAGATGATGGAGATGATTTTAATATTGAATACAGAATAACCACTGGTGATGATCAGATATTTAATATTGATAAACAAAGTGGGAAACTAACATCTTTAGTTGATATGACAGATATTGATAAAGATCAGTTTAATTTAGTGATTCAATCGATAGATACCAATTCATCATTGTCTTCAAATATATCACTTAAGGTAATTCAACGCACACAATATTGTAAATACCATTATCTTCTCAACATGTCATATATGAGCCTACTTTATGGGTAGGTCTATTATCCTTTCTATTTCCATATAATTTTTTTTATCTATCGTTTATTTCATTTTTATACGCCCACTTATACTTCCCACGTATATTGTCGGCACCCCTGTCCGTCCATCGGTCCGTCGGTCCGTCGGTCGGTCCGTCCGTCGGTCGATCGGTCCGTCCGTCCGTCAACATTTGCTTGTAAACGCTCTAAAAACTAGATTTTTTGATGGAATCAAATGAAATTCGGTATGTGTATACATATTCATAAAACGAAGATCAAGTTCGAATTTGAGCTATTTTCGACCGTTAGAAGCAGAGTTAATGTCATTGCCCCAAAATCTTTAATATGCTATTACTCTCTTAGTTTTCAACCGATTTTGATGAAACTTAAAACGGATGTTATTGGACCTAATTCGAAAGGTTTACTTCTGATTAAAATTAAGGCTTTTTCAAGATTTAGGCCTCTCACGTCAGTTTTAAGGGGTTATCGCCTTTAACCTCTATACAGTAAGTGCTTCTATCAACATCAATTGCTCGTAAACAAGGAAGGAAAATGAAATTCGGTATGTGCATACATATTTATGAAACGAAGACCTAGTTCGAATTTGAGCTATTTTCGACTGTTAGAAGCAGATTTATTGCCCTTGCCCCAAAATCTTAAATATGCTATTACTCTCTTAGTTTTCAACCGATTTTGATGAAACTTAAAATGGATGTTTTGTTTTTACCATCCGCATGCCGTGGAGGGCGTATATGGCTGTGGTCCACTATCTTTCTATTAAGTCGTTATTTTAAGAATCTATTTGATATTCTTGAATCTATGTGACAGTGTTGAATAGCCAATATTTATATGAGGAACTATTTTCATAAAAAAACTTTGACAACATGTATGTTGTTGGAGTAATTTTTCCCCACAGTGTATTCTTATATTTCGGGGTAGGGAAGGTGTGATTCTCCCAAATTTTTGATTTGGATGATAGTTAACTTGGTCATATAACCTATACTTAAGATATAGATATATTTGTTATTTTGATTATAGATATATGTCGTACCTAATGGTGATAGATATATTTTAACGGGAAATATCACATTACCAGTATTCGTTAATTATCAAGAAATGTTTTTAAAGTAAGTTTCATTGTAGGCAATAAGATTAGTTTTTGATATATTGAATTGAACTACTACGGATGAAATAGAATTTCTGCTCTGGCTTGGGCTGATGAAGCAACTGCAGTCATGAAAATCTGATCGGTGTAGTTGCATTGGCATGCTTTTTATGCGCCCACATAGAAATGTGGACGTATATTGCCGTCGCCCATGTCCGTCCGTCCGTTCACATTTCTTGTAAGCACGATAGAGGCTACAGTTTTTATCCGATCTTGATGAAACTTAATATGCATGTATATATTGATGAGATCTCAGTCAAGTTCGAAATCGGTTATAATCGGATGAACGGTTTTGCCTTGTAGGCACAATAGAGACTACAGTTTTTATCCGATCTTTATGAAACTTGGCCTGCATGTATGTATTGATGAGATCTTAGTCAAGTTCGAAATTGGTAATAATCGGATGAACTGTTTCAGAGTTTTTGCCCTTGACTTGGTAAAACGCGGCAAATTTGCCTTGTAGACACGATAGAGACTACGATTTTTATTCGATCTTGATGAAACTTGGTATGCATGTATATATTGATAAGATCCCGGTCAAGGTTGAAATTGGTTATAATTGGATGAACTGTTTCAGAGTTATTGCCATTGACGTAGTAAAACGCGTCAAATTTGGCTTGTATGCACGATAAATACTACAGTTTTTATTTGATCATGACGAAACTTGGTATGCATATGTATATTGATGATATCTCACTTGGTGATTGGTAACAATCGGATGAAGGGTTTCAGAGTTATTGCCCTTGACTTAGTGAAAACTTGTCAAATTTGGCTTGCAGGCACGATAGAGACTACAGTTTTTATCCAATCTTGATGAAACTAGATATGCATGATGAGATCTCAGATCCCAGATGAACAATTTCCGAGTTATTGCAATACAGCGATGAGACATTGTTCATGTTTGAATTTGATGATAATTTGATGAACTGTTTCAGGTAATTTAAGATAATTTAAAAATTCATTCTTAAGCCACTAAAGATTTTGATATCATTTCTGATAGCTGGTAGTGGGCGTATGTTACTTTGTCTGGCAAGCTATCTTTTGATATGTTATCTGCACATCTTTTAGTGTTTTCATCAGCCCCTCTGATCGACATCCATGACAGATTGAAATAAACTTGAAAAATCCGAGGATGATACCTCGACCGTTGCGAAATCGTTTTCATGACACACTAATGCCAGCTTAGTCTGGGTTTAGTTATTTTTTTCCAGATTAGTAAAGAGAAAGTGACGATGACATGATCTTAAAACCCATCAACAATTAAAAGATGCGCAAAAATAGACTCGAGGTCTATTTTATCACCTTATTACATTTTGTATTGAGTTTTTGATGATTCTTTCAGGAACCTTAGTGCTATTCTCAATATGACAGTAGAGTTAGATAATGTTCAACCCCATGCTAAAATAGAAGATGGAAAGAAAGTTATTGATAACGACAGGTGTTTTTTTGTTTAAAATGATTATTGTTTTGATCTTAAGCAACTTGCTTGTTATTCCAAAAATGACATCATCTAACGCATTTAGTAGATCTAGTTAAAGACATGGTAGTGAATGTTGTCCCCTAGTTATTTGAGTAAATGCAACTCCTAGTTTATTATAGGCAATATTTTCAGATAATGTACAGATAAGTTAGAAAATCATCAGGTTTTATGTAAAGTCTTATTTTAAATATTTCAGAACTGATGTGTACATCAAAGCTTCTTATAGGCCTGAAAATGAAAAACTAGTTCCATGGCATGTTATTCAAAGGTAACTAATTTTTCAGTTGGTACAAAAAAAGACTGAACACATAGGTCAAGGGCAGTAATTCAGAAAACTTTGTTTGATAAAACTGCATTGGTGTAATTAATGAGATAATTTTAATATTTACCCAGAAACGTATTATCTCAATATCGCCGAATACATTTTAGCTTTCATAAAGCTATAAATGCTTACCATAATTCATCATCTGTCACAGATGGTGGTTATGTTTGTCTCTTTGCCGGTCATCGTTGATCATCAAGGATATATGCCAAAGTTTTCTGTAAACATATAGAATGTTCTTTTCATTTAGGGAAGTTCGGCGTAAAAAGAAAGCAATAGAAGAACTATTCAGTAAAGGCCAATCCTTCGTAACAGATGCTACACCAATCAAAATCACCAACGATGAGGGGTCAATAGGTATTCCGGAAATGACATTGTTGGGGCTAGCATGCGCCATATTTGTTGGATCAGTCATATCTATAGTAATAGTAATTAGATCATGGACAGTGTAAGTATGTCTTTAGCATATACGATAATTTTTCAGACATTTAACAAGTTCCTCTAATTTCCCAGCAAATTATGATAATTTTTTCTCACTATCTTAACATTCCCAATCTAGCCCCTTCCCTTCGCCTTTGTTATTACATAAGACATTTACTAACGAGCTTTCATTTTATAAGACAAGAAGCCAAACAAAATAAGATACAGATGGCGTTGATGGCACGACAGAAAATCAGTAGAGAAACAACATTTTCTGATACCATTTGTGATTCAGATTCTGCTGTTATGGAACTGTAAGTAACTACATACAAATTGTGGAATGTCTCAAATTTTAGTAAAACATATAGCTGAATTAACGCCATAATAAAGCTGTGAGTGTTTCATTCATTTGCTATTTTGTTCAAAATCTAACAAACCGTTTCAATAACAAACGTGATTTATCTTAATTTTCTTCCGACCTTCTACTGAAGTAACAATAATGATCTATTTTGTTATCAAGAGATGCTGATAGTGTTGATATTAATGATATAAACCTAGAGAAATACGTGAAATATAAAAAAGAAACAGAGTAAGATAGTTGTTGTGCTTGTTTATTTGTTTGAATGTATGTAGATTTAATATGAAATGTAGATTAGTTGTAGATAAACACATTTCAGTGTTCCTGCAGCACATTTAACTAGTGCGGCCACTAGATGGTAACGCCTTGAATATTCACTTTACTATGGTGGCACTGATTAGACACGAGACCAAGTATTTGTGGTCTGAATAAGCTACAAAAGTGAAATAAGCTACATTACAAAACTCTCGAAATCAAATGATGACTTATAAGGCCCTATTCTACGGGTAATGGAAAATGACAGAAATGTCAAGAAATAGTCGGCAAATCTAGTCCATCTATTTTGGTTGGAGGATGGAAGTACTTTTGAATTTTAGTTTAATAGGTCGACAAGGATGTCAATCAAAATGACATATCTAAATATATGGAAGGGTAATTGTTTCCAAAGAAGGTACATAAGATCCTTGACTACTTGTCAACACTAAGTAACAGATTATTATCTACAAAAGCTATCAACGTTTAACTTGTAAGAAACAAATTGGAATCTACTAATGACACAGATACCCTTCCATATTTATCAACAATTGCGAAAAAAAGAAGATGTGTTTTATATCTGTGCTTTTTTTTTAACCGATTTTGATGAAATTAACTCTAAGGGAGTGTTTCTAACAATCGAGTTAGCAATTTGTATAAAACAATTTTGTAGTCCAGAAACCTTTCTTTTCAAAACCTCTTTTTAAGATTGTTATTAATGACCTGTCACATTTTTCAATCATTGAACATTTTTTAGATTTCAATAGCACATAAAGCATGTTGATTTTTATACGCCCACAAGGAAATGTTGCTCATTATTAAATTTGATGAACTGTTTTTGAGGTTTTGCCTTGACTTTTATATATTATTAAGCTTATTTGAAAATTCATAATCAAGCCACTAAAAATTTATCATCTCTGACAGTTGGTAGTGGGGGTATGTTACCTTGCCTGGCAAGCTATTTTATTCTTTACTTATATATTAAATGTGCAGGATATAATAACCTTATTCACTTACCCATTCAACCCATTTTTGTCTTTTTTATGCTTACACAGGATGCTGTATTGAGGTGATTTGCATTATATCTTTTCCCAGTTATTATAAACTGGTTGTTTATAAAGTAAAAATTTAAATGATTATTACAATCTTTGAATGATGGATGTTATTTAGATTTTTATTATGATTTGTAGACATGTGCGTCATGAAAGAAGTTTTTGGCACGCGTCATTTTTTTTCCATTAAAATCACGACCATTGATTTAAATCCACAAAAGAAGAATTTTTGAGACCTTCAATACATAGCAAGATTTACTGTGAGAGTGTATCTTACATGACAGGTTTGCTCTAGAAATTTCCAGAACAAATGTAACAAATATAACATCCTTAACAAAAGTGAAATCAAACATATTCGTGCGTAGCTTTTTATATGTTTACAGATAGAAAACAAATTGTGGAAAATTTCCTCCCAGAAATGTCTATTCTAAGTTTGTTTTTCACTAAGAGACATCGATGTTTCTTTTACAGGAATCAAAATGAATTAAAGAAAAGGGTATCATTTAGATTATTCCAAGACATCGAATCTCTGAATTCAGAACCAGTGCCTGAACCAGAGTTGGTACTTACTGTGACAGAGGAGCAGGAGAAAACTCTTGAGTTTGGTAACGAAACCTCGGATGGTGATACAGTGAGGCTGCGAAATATTATTCTAGCTAAAACTGTCATGGATGTAGCTAGAGAAATACACTTAGCTAACCAAAACCGAGGAACTGATTCAGCAATGAGCAGTTCCAAGCCTGGCGAAGACGATTGCGGGCAAAAAAAGGTAGTTTCTGAAAATGATTATTGTAAACCCATATCGAACGTTAATCAAGCGTTTATTGAAGATCAAACACAAACCAAGGTTGCTTCAACTGATAATGATCATACCCAAAAAAATTCAACAGGAAGTATCAATACTAGTAAATATACTAGCGAGTCATTGTATGAGACTATTAAGGATGTTGAAGATAATAAATATGAATTAGCTGAGGAAAGTGAAGACACAGACTTATAAACTTTATAACACACAATATTTTCCATGTTTGGTATTTTAGATTAATGTCTGATTCGGAACTCTGTTCCTGTATCAGATGAGATGCGAATAAGAGTTTTGTATTTGATGTCTGAATCGGATTTCTGTACTAGATGCCCCGTTCTTTCTAGATATCCGGATCAGACTTAAGTACATAAGTCCTGAATCGTTGATGGCTGGATTAGATATCTGAACTAGATTTCAGACTTCAGTACCAGATGTACCGATCAGACTTCAGCACTAAATGTCCCGATCAGACTTCTGTACTTGATGTCTAGATCAGGCTTCTGTACTTGATGTCTGAACCGGTCTTCTGTACTATGTGTCTAGACCGGACTTCTCAACATAATTTACCCACATATATAATAGTTATTTAATAATAACCATTATTGTTTATAGCCCCACGTATAGCTCGAGATCAATTATAGTCTCATTCGTGATTCAACTCTCAACATTCAATTCATTCTATTTTCATTGTCTCAAATGGTTTTCATATCACGCGTGACTTTTAATTATTTATTAATCATAGAAAATCATGGCGACGATTTTGTCTTAACCTCATAAGACAAAAATACATATATATCAAATTGTATGAAAATAAATTTTGTTTGTTACTCATATGAATAAACTTACAAATAATACATTTTCTCCTGCGCATAATACCTAATCCCTAATCCAGGAGAGCATTTATTATTTTTACACTGTCCACTTTAATTGCTATTATCAATCTGACTCAATATTATCTAGCAAAAATTAAAAAATAATCATCACACGATGGATCGTATGCAGCGGTATTGAAGCCCAGCGTAGTATCTTTGGGATTACAAACGCCATTTCCTACCAGACCAAAAATCACGCTCGGTCATATACTGGAACAGGCGACAGACAAGAAATAAAATATTTCCATAACGATGTTATTTCGTTTATTAACATGAACACAAATATGGACATCCTTCAAACCAATAATGATCTGTACATTTAAAGCAAAATAATTCCCCATCACCTTCCGATCTTATCTTCTTACTGTCATGTGAGTAATAGTTCAATTCCAATTTCTTAAATATATATAATTACACGTATTCTTCATTGACAACAATTAACAAGTATAATATATCAGCTATTTATTAATATATTTATTTATCATGTTTTTGATTTTGCAGATATCTTGTTCTTAAATAATATACTTTTTAATGTCTCTTGTTAAATATCAATACTGTATATATATAAATATATATTATAATCTCTCCTTTCAAATATAATTAACTTTATAACAGTCCATTCGACATGTCCATAAATAAAGCGCATAAGTTATAGCCAATCTATTTACACGTGTCAAATTTATTGAGTTCTATTTATGGTTAAAATCATGCTTAACGAGAACAACTTTCAATTCAAAACAAAGATTAACTTGCAAATCTCCTGGTCATCCAATATGCTGTAGATCGAAAACAGATTTCCTCAATATTTCGTCTCATTAATTTTGATAACAATAACTCTATCTGATTTTGAAATAAAATAAAATTGTTCAAAACAAAAAGTCACATTCGAAAATATTTTCTTTGGTTATCCTTTGACTATACTTGATCCAATTGGTCGCGCATGTATCAAAACTGACATTGTCATATTTTCTGAGAGGGTTGATACAGGTTCAATCAAATTAAAGAAAGTTTAAACGAACCAATGGCAGGCTTTCTTACATAATATATATAATAATTTGATTTTATAATAAAAAATAAAATTTACTCAGTAAATAGGATCTCTTAATTATATCATCTTGTTATTTTGTAATTTGAAATAAAAATTAATATAAAATTCTTAAGTAAAATAGGAAATTTTATTTTATAATAACTTTTTTCCGAACTACATTTGTTATAAAAACTAATAATATTCATCTATTTAGATAAACCAAATCTTCAGAATATTATGAATATGAATTAATAAAATTTATATCAATCTATTTTTGCCATAGTCATTATTTTGTCCAGCCTTAAAATGAGGTAAATAATGTTGAAAATTGTTCTGAAACACTGAGATATAATATAAAATTCAAATACCACATACTAACATTATATATTGTAACATTTACAGATCTGTACCTTCTAACTTTCAGGTTAAAGGGATGTAGACTTGTGACCAGAAAGGGCAATTTAATAGACAAGAGAGAATCTAAATCGTTCTGTGACCTTTTTAAGTACAATATAATGAAAATCATATTCAAAAGAAATGGAAGAAGAATGTTAATTGTTTATACAAGGCACCACTTTTGGGAGAAATTTAGAAGCCCATGAAAAATTAAGCACCATGTTGAAAACCGTTTAGACTCTAATCTTTTGAACTGGGCTATATTACAAACATTCTAATAAAATTCCAACAGCGTCAAAAATGAATGTTAAATAAGAGTACATTTTATAATGAAGCATTATTTAGCTATTAGGATAATTAAAAAGAAAGCATTTTTAGACTCAAGATACAAATAATGAAGGAACAAGGTTTGGAATATCAGAATTTTACGTTGGTTATTCATAATCATTTCATAAAGCTTTCAAATATCAAGCACTATTTACAATATTTTGATTTTCATAAATTCTGTGTTGTATTTCTTATATACACATTTTATAGTAAAATAAACTCTAAAAGTTAAAATCAAACATTTCAAATCAACAAATACAACAACGTTTCTACAGCACCAATTTGAAACCTTTATGTTTGTTTTTCAGACTATCAGATATAGCTCTTATCATTTCACTTAATGTAAATCCGGTGCTACGTAGGGAGTTAAAGTATGCCATCGTGTTATTGGTGTCTTAGACTGTGCTACCATCTCCTGCCAATGAATCAGCTCTTCACCTCTGGCGAACATGAAAGGCCCGACAGTTACACGACCATATTCTTCCTCTCGACTAAATGGTCCTCTTGTTTGTGACGTGATTATTGATAAAACGACGTTACAGGTATCCAGTTGTTTACCAGCGATAGAGAAGGTGAAAGATTCGTGAATTTCGGGATCAGAATGAATCCTTTGCATTGTTGTCTTCTTTGTTTTATGTGCACGTCTTCCGTAGTAAAACTGAACTCGGGCGTACAATCCTAAAAAACAGAAAAATCAGTTGAGTTCGTGAGGGACATGCCAGAGAGACAGTCCACACTGAAAATATTATTATGTGAATGCGGTATTCAATTATTTAAAAAAAAAACGATTGCAGATGGTTCTTTCGCTCATGAGAACGGAAAAAAAATCATTCAATTTTAGACAATTTCTTCAAAAAATGACAAATAAAAGGCTAGAAAAAATGGTATTTTATACCAACCTGATTCACTGGTATAATCTGATGGTCGTAGATTTCTGGCTCTCATTACAACTATCTTGATTTTTTCTTGTTGTGGGATGTAGGTTAAACTAACTTGAATATCACCAAGTGATGAAGCCGCCTAAAGGTCAACAAAAAATGATTTAACAGAGTGCACTCACAGAGATATCCGTACCTCAAAGCAAAACGGTATGTGGTAACCCAAAACTATAAAGGCATTTAATCAATTTAAGTGTAAAAACTAAAAATACTGTTAATTCCTGAATTCCCCGTACCTGAGCCATGGGTTCAAGGTCACTCCAGATGACTTCTCCTCTAGTAAGGTCGACATCTTTCATGGCTACCATAACATGACCAAGAGAGTGGCGTATTTGTCGCTTATCAACATCGTAAACAGAAAATCTAAGGGTTCTTGTTAATATCTCGTCAGGAGAAACCTGGAAATCAGAATATCAGATTAAAATATGGAGGTAAATGAAACGCTTGTGTCGTAACCTATTAGCCTTGTGTTCGATACTTAGAAACATCACCTCCAACTTTTTTTAAAAAAACCGAATAAACCTGTCGGTCAGTGTGTGTGTGTAAGTGGTCAGTGATGTAGCCACACAAAATCATGGGTACATGTCATTTTGGAGACCAAGAATAAGATTTACAAATGCCAATAATAATAATATGTGCAAGTTTTATGAAAATATGCGGCAAGGTCTTCCCTTCGATCAATATGACCTAATAATTTATACTATAGCAGCTGTACCAAATAGGTATTCAATTATTCATTTTATAACGTGTTCTTTTCTCTTATCAATGCTTTGCAAATTCTGAATGCTGTTGTTAGCTTACCTGAAATGTAAATGACTCGTTATATACTGGTGAAAGAGATTTTTTACGAGTTTTTGATGTACGACAGGTGCGTTCATCTGGCAGTAAATATATCTTTACAAACGGATCACGTGGTGCATGATTAACGCCTCTACCTATAAAAAATCATTTTCATAATCATATATTTTATAATAAAAATATACAAAAAAAGGTTATATAATTAATCAATAATAACATGGCAAGTTAGAATTATGTTTTTAATGATTTTCGTTAATATTAAGAGTTGCAAGAGAGGGGTTTTCTTTGAAATACTAGATTAAAGATGTTTATATTTTGATAACCTTCATATGTTGAAAATTTCAAATATAGGAATAAAGAAGTAATTGAAAATAACCCGTGGACGACGTGAAATTAACATCACGTTAAAATTTCTCAAATAAGGCAGAACAGAATTACTTGAGAATTTTTCGGATGTGACCAGATGAATGATAAAGAAACATTTCAAACTTTGTCGTTCGTTTGCTAGACAGTCACAATAACTTTTTACCTTAAACATTCGCCAACATTGCTACTCTGATTAAAAACGTATAAATGAAATTTTGTCGTTCGTCAACATTGCTTTCAGAGTGATACATAACTAACTAAATCTTATTGTTCTATAAATCTATATTTGTCACCATTGCTAATTTGGTTAAAGCGACTACATTTTTTTTTATCTAAGAAATCAAAGAATCAAAGAAACATCTATAAAACTTGGTGGTTTGTCAACATTGCTTACAGAATGAAAGAAACATCTAGATGAAACTTGGTGGTTTGTCAACATTGCTTACAGAATGAAAGAAAAATCTAGATGAAACTTGGTGGTTCGTCAACATTGCTTACAGAATGAAAGAAACATCTAGATGAAACTTGGTGGTTCGTCAACATTGCTTACAGAATTAAAGAAACAATCTAGATGAAACTTGGTGGTTCGTCAACATTGCTTACAGAATGAAAGAAACATCTAGATGAAACTTGGTGGTTCGTCAACATTGCTTACAGAATTAAAGAAACAATTAGATGAAACTTGATGGTTCGTCAACATTGCTTACAGAATGAAAGAAACATCTAGATTAAACTTGGTGGTTCATCAACATTGCTTACAGAATCAAAGAAACATCTATGAAACTTGGTGGTTTGTCAACATTGCTTACAGAATGAAAGAAAAATCTAGATGTTACTTGGTGGTTCGTCAACATTGCTTACAGAATGAAAGAAACATCTAGATGAAACTTGGTGGTTCGTCAACATTGCTTACAGAATTAAAGAAACAATTAGATGAAACTTGGTGGTTCGTCAACATTGCTTACAGAATGAAAGAAACATCTAGATGAAACTTGGTGGTTCGTCAACATTGCTTACAGAATTAAAGAAACAATTAGATGAAACTTGGTGGTTCGTCAACATTGCTTACAGAATGAAAGAAACATCTAGATGAAACTTGGTGCTTCGTCAACATTGCTTATATAATGAAAAAAACATCTAGATGAAACTTGGTGGTTCGTCAACATTGCTTACAGAATGAAAGAAACTTCTAGATGAAACTTGGTGGTTCGTCAACATTGCTTACAGAATGAAAGAAACATCTAATTGAAACTTGGTGTGGTGGTTCGTCAACATTACTGCAAAGAGTAAATAAAACTATACATGGGTATTTTATCTATACGATCTTATTTATCGGTCAAGTTAATTGTTGACCATGACATTTACTATGTCACTAAATGAATAAAACAGTAAATATTTTTAAACACCAGTCATATATACGTAACATTTGGTATACATTGATCGAAAGACCTTTGTGAATAAACAATAAAGATATGTCAACCACATAAAGAAAAAGTCAAATTCTATAATAATCGCATTAAAATACATGAAATAATGTTTATTTTGCGTTATTTAATCTTCTTTCAGAAATCGGTTCTCCATTTAATCATCCTATTTGGAAAGTAAATGACTGAAAGTGATTGGTTTTATAAGTCTACATAATCAGTGTCAACATATGGTCTGATCACATGGACAATTTTTGTAATACGTGACGCTATTGTTAGGACAGAAAATGAAATAAATTTTAATTAAGAGACTTTAAAATGTAATTCAATGCCTTATTCCAATTCAAAACAGCTTTCAATCAATAACATAGGGTTTAGTCTCAAGGAATTGTAACGACGTAAATCATATATTCTGATCCTTTCTTTTCTTTAATTCTAGTTTATAAAGTCACCAAAAACATCATTAGCTAGTTGTGTTCTCCTTTAAGGTCGCACCAATAGCAGACTGGCATTAGATCTTTTGGAGGAATTAGCGGGCTAAACGAACGATCAATACCTAGTGTGTTTGGAAATCAACTTGTTTAAGTAGCACCTTATTCTCGACAAGATTATTTCTAATTCTTTGATATATTGTCATTTAACTGTCACCCTACTCAGTCGACAATAGATAAAATATCAACAAAGCTACGTGGGAGTTCTTTGTATTTGATAAATATAATAGTATCACGAAAACCTTCCACCTTAATGTATCTAAAAAAAACTTCGTGATATTTGAGAGGAAAATTTGAGAGGAAATTTAGGAAACCAGAATTTCCATGACTTCCAGAAAACATCCGCAATAAAAAGATATATGACTGCTTCATGTTAACATTAATAAGGTCAAAGTATCAAATTAGACAATCGTGACGTCTATAGACGACATAAGACATTTAAATAGCCAATTATTGATAATGGCCAATTAGATTGATTTTAGATAATTTCTATTTAGTCAAATCATTATTTTTGGATTAATTTCGAGCTGAAGTTGCACAAATGTATATCTAGTATTTTTCTAAATATTGCTGCATCAGAAATAATAAATAATCCTAGCTAGTGTAACATTAGTATCTGATAAAAAAAATTCACATTCTTCACCTGGTATATTCTTAACCTTTATTAGATTTACACACAGTTGTTCTACTGCCACATCATAAATAATTGAGAACCAAAGTCGACCGTGTTCCGTTGGTGGTAAATCATCTTCATCTTCCTCGGGTACAGTTGGATGTCTACAAAATCAAAAATATTCATTTTGACTAGTTAGAACGATTTGCTCTCTACAAAAACAAACATAGTCATTTAACGAAAACAAAGTTATTCATTTGATTAATTGGAACGACTCGGTGTCTACAGAAACAAAATTTCCAATTTAATTAGTTAAAACAATTCAATGTCTACAAACAAAATAATACAATAGCTGATTTACCAGGTATGAAGTAGGATAAAAAATAAAACTTATAGTGACGTTGGTTGAAGTGAATGTCACAATTTAAACAAACACCTGTCTTTTGCGAGAAAAATTATTGTGTTGAAGCTTTCGTTAATTCAAAGAAAACCCGAAATGTCACATAAACCATTTAATTTGATTAAAAGCAGAAGAATATGTCAAAACTTCTACTGGCTGTGTTACAATCTAAGTGGAAAATATTGGATTGTAAGGAAAATTTACAAATTTAGGTGTATTATACATAAGTTTGTCTTCTAGACCTTACTCACTCTATACAAACTAACAAATTTATAATATTATTTTCATTTTTGGCATAAGGATTTGCACCAAGGCAATGATGTTACGTATCAATTTTTGTGCTTTTTTGCCGAATTGTCCATGTCACATCGTAGTAAGATCATTGACTGAAAATTAGAATCCAAATTTATACAAATGTTGTAGGTGCTATTATCTTTGCGAAGAGGATTTCTATTTTTTTTTAAGTGTATCCGAGAACATTGATAGTATCAATTTGCAATATTCCAATTTCAAATCAAACATCTGTGGTTCCTGCAATTCCACTGTTTTATGTCATGTCACTAATCGCGAAAGGACTATCCTCATAGAAACAACTAACAACTTCATATAGCCTTGTCTTCGGCTAGGAGGTTGGGGTCGAGAAAGGGAGTATTATTATGTTATTGTCTGTATGGTTAAAATATCACACAATATTAAGGATTTAAGGGTTATAATATATAAGAATAAAACACAATTACATGTACCTGTATAATTCTGGTTGAATTGAGCCAATACATTGTTGATAAGTAGTAGGTCCAATAGATAAAGATCTATCGTAACTAACTTTAGGTTGAACTCTTTCTGGTGGCAATTCAAAATCCGGTATACGTTCAATCGTCATTGATCGTATCAATACAGAATCTCTAGGTTTAAAACTAGCATACGCATCCGGACATGATCTTCTTTTAGCTAATTTTGGGGATGAAGACCTGAAAAAGTAATCGGTTATTTTCTATGGTAATCGTAGTTTGCTGAGAATACTGAGGCACTGAACAACTAAATTACTAAACTCCCCCCTCGACACCATAATTAATCTATATTCTTGCTTCTTTATGTGTATGCTACGACTTAAACCTTTAACAGGGCCATATCTTGAAATGTGTCTAGTTGAAAATACAATAATGTAATCAAGTACATTCATACTGTCTGTTACAGAAAGTTTCAAATCGGGAAGATATTAAACAAAGATGTATTGACTAAGATGTGCCACCAGGAATAAACTAGGTCATTCTGTAAAAATTTCGAGGTCAGAGACAACTAATGGCTAATAAATGCTAATTTCCTTGAAAAACAATTAAGCAACAAGTATTTGGTAAACCGCTAAAATTAAACTAGAATGTCACCAGATTAGATATTTAAAGTTCTAATTTTCTGCACCTGGTATTTCAAGCTTAAGCTTAACCACATGATTAATGCATTTATTAAGCAAATTTTCAAACAACATGTAATGGTCATAGTGTCGACCATAGAACATCATAATTGACACTTTCAATTTTGTAGTAGTTTAACCATATTCCGGTTTTTAAGCAATTGCTTATAACAGAAAGTCTTCATATGAACATCCCCGATCACAACACTTGACGTGTGACGTGTGCAACTGTGACTGTGAAATATAACAGCTTATAAGGGGAAAATTTATTGTCAATTGTCATGAAATTTGAAAGTTTATAATGATTGTTACATTCAATGAGCTGATCTAAATAAGCTGTTTTGTTTTGTAAAATATTTTGTTTCTTAAATGTTATTTAAGAATGTACTTTTCTTTTACGAAGGGCAACCCATCGATCAAATACCTAAAAGTTAAAAAAAACCATACCAACCAAATGTTTAAGGTCACAGTTTGAAGAGATTGTGAATGTTAGAAGTCAGTCATGATTTTTACCAAAAAGCGAATAGGTTATAGAAAGGAATTCATGGTCAAATTTATTATTGAGTCACTGTCCTTTCACAGCCTTCTAATGTTTGGTAAATCTAATAATCAAACGATATACTCAAGCAAAATAAATCTGACATCTTATCTGATTTGACATAACCATAGTGTTCATATCAGTTAAACTTGACATACAATAATATTTAGAACAATAATATAGAATTGAGGTTAATCGTACAATCATAGTTTGCTAGCAGAATCTAATTAGGCAAAATCCAACATCTTGATTAGAACATTTCCTCTAAATGTCGCTTAGTGTAGAATAAAAACGGCAGAGGTTTTTTTTATGTTATTCAAAATCCCGCTTTCCGAGTGATTTTCCTGAAGAAAAGAGTTTTAAATATCATAAAAACCCCAGGGAAAGTGTTTTATCTGGGTTATTCAAAGTCGAAGAAAGTAATTGATGATGTAGACAACGGAGTTAGGGTATATTATACCCAATGTAATTTACACACTTACACAATGTAAGACAAAACGCACAAACCACACCAAACCAAACTAAACCATCCATCTGTCGCCATTTACAAACTGGTAACCAGATTTCGGACCAACAATGTACTACGAGATCATAAGTTCAACGCCATTAAATGTCGATGCGACCACGCTGCCACAGGGTTGCATGTCCTCGTTCAATGCACTGAACTCAAACCCGCTCGTAAGCCACTGACAGAGTACCTGGAAATCAACAGCATACCACTCACCATACAGAATGTTTTGGCTCCACCCACGGACCACTGGTATACGATAATGAATCTGTCTTGAAAAGATAGGCTAAGTTTTTATTCTCAAAGTTTCTTAACACTTTTTAGTTATATCCCATCAATTTAACGAGTTTCACTTCAGAAACATCAGAGAACATCTTTTCCCTCTTTTGTTGAAAGCTTTTCCCCCCTTATTTTTTTTTCTTTTATCACATTTTTTCATTTTTTTCAGGTCTTTTAGTTTTCCATCAGTCATTACATAATCTAACCAAACCAAACCAAACCAAACCAACGACTACCATGATCAGAACGAGTTTGGAAGAATGACGGAGATCGAGTAACTCACGCCACACCATCCAGGGCCGAGTTTCACCGTCATGCCATTCGACCAGATCAGATCTAACGAGTTATCAACAACCAAACCAACAACACAGAATCATCCAATTTGAATCAATCAAACTACCAACTACTACGACTACCAACTACCTAGTTTGCGATACCAGCATCCGCTGCAAGCAAACGTTAACTTGTCATCTCAACCAACCAACCAACCCATCAGTCAGTTGAAATCTACACCTCGGACTGTTAGCATCGATAACCACAACTCATAGCGAAAGTAACTCACATGGAAACTATCGAACCTTTTCTTTCAAAACAATATAAGACATAGGTAAGAAAATGCATATTCCCACATGTCCTTCTAAAGTTAGCAGAAACTCAGAAAATTATCTTATATTTCAACATGCACACTGCATATGCCGCTATCTACGTCTTGCAATGAACCATTCTTACGTTTTTCTCCGATGTTGTTTATCAATGACATCAAACGATGACTTTGAAAATAGTTTGGAATGTGTCCACTTTCGCATTTTCCTTACAAGATACCCGTTCTCGTTTATATATACATGTATGATAAAAAGTGTTCCCAGTGTTCTCTCTTTTTAGTCTGCCAGGTGTATATGGGAAGTAACTTCTTTTTTTTACAAAGTTATTGTAGTGGAAATTTTGAACTGATTTACACTCTTATTACTCAAGCAAAATGCATTCAGTATTTGATAAATTTTTATAATGTGTATGATTATATTTTGATTATTTATTGAAGGAGAGAGTAGTAGAGTAGTAGAGTAGTGGGTATGATAATTTACAGCATTTTTTCAGAACCGCAGAGCCTGTCAAATCGTCCCAAATGAACGAATGAATCTTACTCAAAGTAAGTGGTGTAATATTTTGATTTATAAAGTCTATTGTCACAATATATCATGAAAGGCAAGTGGTAAAATTTCACGAGCAAGAATATGATTAATGAAACTATGCTCGATCAAACAATCATCTATTATAATATATATCAAGAATAATCCTCATTTTATTAACAATCGTGAAAATTTGTTTTTACCTCTATTGGTTGTATACATAACAAAGTCAACGTTGGCTAGATTCAAGGTTGATTATTTTCACTGTGAGTGGTGATATTCGATGTTAATAGTCCAAGGTCTGGATATCAACTGAATGATGGTCTTACCCAGATTTTATACTCTGTGTGTGGTGGCCATATTTCTTCAATAAATATGGTGACCGAAATTTGTAAATATGGCGGACAGATATTTTTTTTCAATAATTAGTTTTAGCGTAGTTAGAGTATGATAGCTTTAACTATAAAATATCCTTGAGAGAGAAGATATATAACATAAGATGGCATCACTTGCGGTTTAAATTAGAAGATACAGCACGAATATTACCAAATTACATTAAATAAGAGGAGGCTAAAATCAGTCAACTTACCTCGATGATGGGCATGAACGTGAAAATAGCGTGTCTTCGTTCAAATCTTCAAATTGTAAATCAAACTTCCGCCGTTTTCTTCTGATTTTAAATATGACAATAGCAAGTATGATGATAAGTAAAACTGCCGCTGAACAACCAACAATAATACCCAATGAAGTGACTGAAATATAAAATATCAAAAGATAATTACAGTGTATAGAGGATTTACATGGTGAATTCCAAGAAACAGATTTCATTAATTTTCATAAATTATCTTTCTATGAATACATGAAAAAATACTGATTATCAACAAAGTCATTAACTTTCCTTTACTGATTTTAAACTTTGGAGCCTGTGAAATTTAATAGAAAATTAACGATGTAAAACAGTTGGCAAATTGTTTCCAAAGGTAGCTGACTACATGTATTATATGATATACATATACCAACCACCGTTGAAGTAATTTCCATAGAGCCAGTATTTTTGTGTTATATATCGACGATGATATTGTATTGGTGTTGTGTCTGTGATGTCATTATATTCTGAGAATAACCTTCAATCTTTATAATCAAATTGCAACAAATATGATCTCACTGGGAGATTCCTGTATTGTCTCAGTTTACTTCAATTTTCATCATGACATATTTATTTGTGATGGACGTTGGTGTTTTCCTTATTAAAAGACATGTTACAAAGGCTTCATTAGCTGTTCTCTGATAAACATTATTCAGCATCAGAATTCAATAAAATAATAATAATGTGAAGATTGGTAAAGAATGAATTGTCTGTAGAGAGCCGGGAAATTAGAAGCTCAACCTTTCACAGTAACAGACAGTACTATCAAGGGAGCTGTGCTGTGCTCATACCCATTTATCACACCCTACGCATATAATATAAATGTCTAATTGAAGTTTTAAACAAATCTCTTTCCCTAGGCAATAATATGGCTTTAACATGACATTTATGCCCGAAGCCATATTACAATTTGGAGACGAGACATGTTTAAAAGTTTCAATTCTTGTTTGGTTTTTGTTTATGAATCATCTGTTTGTAACTGAAAAGTTGTTATTAGGAGCTCATCTCAGATTGAGATATAAAAATCTATTTATATTGATTATATTTTCTTAAACATTTATCCTTGATCCTTGACTTTAAGCGCAAAACTAAATATCTGAGATCATTCTCTTCAATTACCACGTGGACGCTGATATATAAAACCTTATGCTAATGCAGATCTGAAAAATGATTTTGATATATGAATTATTTGGAAGTCTGTCTTTTTAAAACTTGCAACAACATTATTGTCAATAATTTCAGTATTTGAAGTTTGCTTGAACTTGTTCAATTTTGTGGCATTTCGTGGAGGTTGGTCAAAATTTAAAAATTCAGCCCATGACTTCCCTTCCTACAATGTACTGTTTCTTTCGAGAGGTGTACATGGCGTGATCTTTACATGTTACACGCTAGAGGTTGAGAAGGGAATGCTATCACAATGTGCATCATATACCTTACAAAGGGAATGCAACCCTAGATATCTTTTGATTGGATAGACATAAATATAAATATGTCTGATTGAGAATAACACAACCTCATCAGCCTCATTGCCAAATTATTTGGCTTACTTTGTCATGTCAACATCAAAAATGTGTCGTGAATCTTGGGCCTCATACGCCAGTTTTCAAATAATTTTAAGCAGAAACAATAAACGAGATACTTTATAACAGTTTATTTCCGGATTTTTCTTATATTGCGATATTTTAATCTATAGTGATAAAAAATTAAAATGGTCTATATCGCGATACACAAAAAATCTCATATCGCCCAACTCTATGCTATAGCCTATCTATCAATTATTATTGTTAATTGATAGGAGGTAAATGTATTAATGGTGTAGCTAATATAATTTTGATTCTATTTTGGAATATATTATCTGTAAATCACCTTATCTATATTAATTAGTATGTGTTATTGTATATTATAGTTACTGTAATATAATTATAATGCGATACACCTATACAGCGTGGGTGTTTAACAAGAACAAGTATATTCATTACTTTTTCATGTAATCATCAAGTGATTGATTTGCTGTTTCCATGGTAATTTGGTCGTCATTAATAACGAGGAAAAAGGTATTAAATTTTCAATTAAATTAAAAAACCGACGTCTACATTTCCAATATTGAAGTACGCGTAAGTATGGCATACAAACAAAACAACACAACCTAGATTTGAATGTAATGCAATTCTTTCATTCATCATTTTGATGGAGCTGGATATTTGCAACAAAAACATAAGGGTCGTAAATAATTCTTGATTTATTTGGTATTCATAAATTGCGCAGTGGATTATAACTGTATTTAATGCAACAAATAGAGAAATAGTTACCTAGAAAGGTAATGTTCTATGTATAGGTTATTAATGCAAAGGTAATGAAGTAATATACGAAACAAATGGTTTAAAAAGGTCCTTAAAATCAATGACTAATCAATTATTTTCCTAATATAGACGTGTTATACGTGGATTTCAGTCGTTTGTATATACTGCGAATATTCAACATCTGCCTTATAATAATAACCTCATGGCGATATATCAACTGAAGTCGATCATAGTTTATAAATGTAACTGTAACATCTTTGAAACAAAGATTATACATTTCTCATTTTCTCTAGCCTATTGTATTTACACCCACTCCTCCACTCATTCTTCTCCTACCTTTATTAACCCTTCTCTGATTTTTAGCAAAAAGCAGCTTTAACCTAAAGGAGTATTTCCACTAGAATTTTATCTGCATTCGTCACATCTACAAAGGGACTGAAAGATCACTGCTTACATCACGTTCTACGGCAGTGACATTTCAGGCTATCATGGAAAAAACGACATGAGCGAAGCCAAGTGTGATTGTTAATTCAAATTTTCTTAAAGATTTAAATAACTAAAACTGTTAGACCATCGGTCTGGAACGGTCAACTTGATGGTCAAGTTCCTCGCCTTCTGTCAAGAATGGCATAATAGATTTTGTAGATCGTAGCACACCAATATATAGACGATTAATATTTCTGGCACATCAATCCTAACTTGCGGCTATTGCCACTTAGTCCCTTCATTACCACTTTGTGTCATTTCTTTTTATACCTTTTAATCCCATATGAAACAATATGTAATCAACCCAACATCTTGCACTAAGAAGTAAGATTAGAGATCAGTAATAAGTAACCTACAACCGTTAATATATAAGTCCACCGCCCAGGATACCATATGATTACTGTTATTACATATATCAATATTTACAACACCTTATTATTAACTGTATATTTTATTACTTACTTTTCACACATCAATAATTAACTTTAAAAGCATGTTTAGACATACAAAATTCGCCTGATTTTAATTATTTTTTATATATATTCTTTCACATACAGTAATCAAATAATTATATTAAAGATATATGATTTTTACAAAATAACACTTTTCTCGAGGTAAACTTTCCTAACTGCTTTCAAAATATGATTAATCTACTGCTTACTCTGTTTCTTGGATAGATATGTTAACTAACGTAAAATATACAATGTTCTTCGATTTAGCTTCCTATTTAATTGCTTTACATTTTAATATATCAAAGAATTTCATGACATTTATCGCAATTGATTTAACATCATTAAAGTACCACAAGTAAAGACTTCAAAACAAAGAGTTACTGTCATTGTTTGTCCCATAACAATGATAGTTGCGTTAGTTTTACATATCTGTAGATCAGCTCGGTGTACATTTATATTTCATTAACACATTCGTTATACTATGGAAGCGGTATAGATGTATAAACACAATGTTGTGCAATTTCTACGGTACACACACAATTCTCGCATGATTTTGTGTGGTTGTGGGGTATGAAGCGACGTGTTGACCCCCGCCCCACTGCCCACCCCCAACTTGACCAGCGTAAAGGCTACCAGCCTTTTTTGTTACTGTTTACATTCAATCTGAAATGGAAGCCTGATCGTTAATTTGATTCTTCATATGACTTTTATTTTCAATTTATTTTAAATGTCAGAGGTATTCTGTTGATAATCTAAAGTGATTTTATAGCCATTTCATTGTAATTACATTTTTAGAGTCAGAATATCTATTTTTTGATATAATACCTTTGTCTATACCTCAAAGTGCAAAAATTCCTATGTGTTCTAAGAAGATTAAATTTCATCTTTGTTATGCTCGAATCAAAGGTTATGTTATAGGTTATTTGAGCCTAATCTTCATATTTTATCAAATTCAAAACTTGGACTAAAAAAAACGCAACTCAAATTTTCCAGCAAAGCTTATGAAAATACAAGGAAACTTCATGATGATGAAATAGTTGGAGGTGACGTGAAGGTGTAAGCATAATAAAAGTGACCAACTGAGACAATGGCTAGTATCACGCTGAATTAAATAATTTTAACCGATACCATAAAACCACTGAGGACAGAATGTCTGACAAACTAAGCAGTGTCTAAATACACCATTTTATATGGTCTCTATTATAATTGATAGAATCCGTTTTAGCTTCACCGCTGATCGTGAACGTTTTTGTAATGAAGGAATCTGTGGGTTGTGAAATGCTAATCGCTTGGGCTGAATAACTCTCAATTACTATCAAATAAGCAGTAAAAATAAGATATGTAATACATGTAGACTTAATAGTCAATGCCTGAAGCGACAACCACATACTAACTATAAGAGCTTATCTCATAATAATCAAACCGGACAAGGTTATAATTTGATGATAATGTATAATCCACAGTGTGTTAATAATTTTGCTATAAATGGACGACCGGGATAATTAGTTTTAAATATCAATTTCCCACTCATATCCGGTTTCATAATGACACTCTATTTAGGTGTATGTGTAACATCTAAATATGGCATGATGTTCCTTACAATCTAAAATCTGGTACAATCTCCAATATGTACAATACAGTTTCAAATCAACAGTTTTAAACAATTTACAAACTTCCTTTTTCATTTCCATATCATATAAAAGATTATATCCACATTGAAAGGTGTTAAAACATATTATAGATATATGCATTGGAGAAAAAACTGCATACGTTATAACGACACAATAAACCAGCGCGACTACAAATATCATATTTTTTCAAACTAATTTCATTTTGTGTTTTGCATTATTTGATTTATGCCTTTTCCGTGTCTCTTTGGAATTTAAATGCACGAAAGCAATGTCTGTGAAATCATGATGCAAGATGCATAATATGTCCATTTGTCACCTTATCCTATCGCATTTAGCCAATTGATATACATCTAAATAACTGTTATGCATGTGACATTGTATGATGTTATTTCAATATATTATGACCTATATTTGTTAAGATATGTCAAAATGAGCTTAAAACACTAACGTTCATGTATAAGTTAGAATAAAAAAGGTACAAAGTAATAAATCATCTAAATATAGGATACCCTAAAGTCACTGAGTTTTAGCTACCACAGTTAGTGTACGAGTGTGTTTAAAGCGTCAGCTAGAAGCCTATATCAATATGCGTAGCCAGTCTTGCCATGAACAAGAACTGAATATTTAAGATCTGTACAATGTGCCACAGCTAAGTTTCTAAGAAATATATCAATCTTATGACATCAATTTGTCAAACTTTTTAAATCATTTCTTTGTCAAGGGTAAAAAGAACAACGTGATACGTTGCACAGATGGAAGACAAAAACTTTAACTTGATATTTGCCAATAGCAGGTATTAAATGTTTGATTAAGTCCGAAATTCGTACAATAGATCAAGACTTACCTGTAATATTTCCAAAAATATAATCATTATGTTTAGCGCTAGGATTAGAAACTCCTTCTTCAGCATTTATCTCTTGAGCAGCATATGTTGTTTTATATCCTGAATTATCATCCCCTCTCTTTCCATGATCTCTAACTTCATGATGCTTGTCGTGATGATTTCTATGTCCATGATTTGTCTCATCACGATCTCTATGTCCACGATCCTCTTCACCATTATCTCTATGTCCATGATCCTCTTCACCATGATCTCTATGTCCATGATCCTTCTTACCATGATCCATTTCCTCACCATGTCCAGACGTTCGGACAAGGCGTCGGCTAATAATCCTCATGGCAGGAATTAAAATCCTGCAATTTTTGTGACTTGTGAACTTAATCTGTCATTTTGGAATGAAGTGAAGAGAATATTATGCCTAGAATAAGAAAGAAATATAATCAATAATATAAACAGTAAAAGGTTCAATATTGATTGAAATGACGTATAGACACACCAGATCTTTGCTTACAGTAGTAACAGCTGTTCCTCTTCATCTTATATAAAAAAATACTGATAAAAACATTCTCCCTCCTCGCAACCTTATCTTAAATAGAAATTTAATTAACAGGTAATATCGAAATAGTTAAAATAAAACTTTAGAAGATTACCTGACGTCGCTAGTCCTTAACGTGGCGTGGTGTTCAACTCAACTACTCAGATAGTAGTGGTTTAAAACATATATCACCTCAATACATATAGTATTGGCAGATAGAGACACCTGGTTTAATTCCCTTGCCATAAATAGAACAATACAAATTGATCGAGAAATGTCACCTTTTATAATTTAAAGCAAAAACAATACTTAGATCATTTAGAGCTATTCTAGAATGTTTATTTGAGAGTAACACAGTGGATCAAGCCAATGAATATATTGTAATATAAAGGAGGAGAAGACATTTTAGCTTTTAACAGGACTGACCTGTGTTCCTTTGGTTTCGTAAAAATCCAAATTTCTAAATTTGAATATAAAAGGTGTTACTACCTATTATTCTGAATCAATTAAATGAGATGTTTTGTCCCACGCACCTTCTCAGATTTTTAGCGAGAAAATGACACCATATGTTCATCCGTTCTGTGTATGAATCGAATTTAAGTTTGAGCATTCTTTGAATGCCTACGCATTGCTCTATCCTTGTAATTGTAGTGCTTGGTATAACAACGTATTCTATCACGACATGGGGTCATTCATATTGCCATTTGCAGTAAACTACTATACCCTTCTCCAAAACATACATTAAAACATTTACCACCAGCAAAGGGAATGAGTAATCATATAATAAAAAACCTACCGATTCAGTACACCACCTCGATCCTCCAGTCAGTCGCAAGTTGTGTCAAACAGAAAAACAAGACCATTAGCTAGATTCAATACAACACGTGTGTACATACACGAGATTAAACTTCATCACAATTCAAGACGTCTTTCCATAATCTTCAAATCATGCTCTGATTATCTATGGTTATTAATGAAAACTCTAATTAACTCTAACTACAAGGATAATCTTGACAGTGTCTAAATCTCTCATATTATATTAATGTATTAACCACTACTATATTATCTTTATATTTAATTTCATACTATAACTCAAGATGAAATGTTAGTTTAAGAGAAAAATGAATATAAAAAGTTAATATTTTAAAAAATGACAACCCCACCTTTAACAAATTCATATTAATTTTTTTTCTCTTATGACTGAATAAGTCAACTCACTAAGCAATGAAATTGACTTGAAACGATACCGAATTTAAGTCTACATCACATCGAGCAAAGTTTTTACTCACCAAAGGCAATGATTTTTGAGTCTTTATACTTATATCTGTTCGTAACTGAAAATTGAACACTTACAAACATGATGCGATTTGTCACCTAGACTTGCAGAAAATAAATCTAACGGACAGAAGTGTTTATTCATCAACGTATTTCCAATTTCCAACTGTCGAGGAAACATTTCAGAGTAAACAGTTTGGTTTATTTCACCTGTTGACAAATCTTGTCGGCTATTGATATGATGACATGTGCAGGTTATTTGGTCAACAATTCATTATTATTTATTTGAAGGAATAATGAATATGTGCATGATCATGTATACTTTCATAGCATCTAAAATAAAAGTTCTAGCTGATCGTAATATCCGACCTTGGGCTTGTGCAGTGAGTTGGACGTGAGTGCCGATCCTCACTCTTGACATAGCTAAGGATCACTCTTTTGACGTATAATACTCTGATTGCACGTCTTCCTTAACCCAAACAGGAGTAAAACGTTACATCTCAACAGATACATGCCAACCCAAAAATTTCCAGTTTTATAGTAGGTATATGTAATATGAGATATTATTGATGGGGAATGTCAATTGTTGATTAATACGCCGTCGTACATACATGATGTTTTTTCTATTTTTAAATTTAGACCAGGGAACCGCGGTGGCTTAGTAAATTAGACGCTTGCATCAACTCCGACATAGGTCGAGATAATATCTTCGGATTTTGCATGCAGGTAAGAGGGGCTGACATGGAAAAAGCTTCTAGTCGTTCGGATGGGACAACAAACCGAGGGCCCGGTGCTACAGGCTGTGCACGATAAAAATCCCTCGACAGCTGGAAATCGAAAAAGAGCAGGCTAATGCCGCTGTCCTGGCTAAATTTCCCATATTGCACCCTGCATGGCGTTGTCCGTCATCATTAGCTCTCATGGTGCAGAAAAGTAGGACGCACAACTCCATTCATTTCATTCAACCTGTGGGTACCAAAATACGGTAATATTAAAGTTTTAGGGGGGTAATTGGGCGCTTTGTAATCTCGAATAAAAAATTTGGACTATTATAATTTAAGTTGTTCTCATCAGTTCATATTCTCCAGCATAATAAATTGCAGGAAAAGTCTTTATGAAAATCACGGAATTGGAAGAATTTATAGGAGGGAGGGGGTAATAACAAGAAAAAGGTTAAAAAAAAACCCTGATCTATATCAACGATTGGGCAGTAGACCTTCAACATTGTGCATATTTTATCATAAAGAAACGTATCTAATTTTACTGACCTGTCTGGTTTCCCACAATCTGTAAGTCCAGTCGATAAACATCCCGTCCTTAGTTTACATGTAGAATAGCATGTATAATCATAAGAAATCACTGGAGAAATCTACGTGTTGAGTCAGCTATAATTATAGAGACATTGCACGATTAATCCCGCATTCAATTAATCAACAATTTAAGTAATTATTCCTTTATTTATTCATAGTACGACTGACTTTAACAGTCATAATTTAATGTACAACATTTATTTCATGGCCATGTTATTGGATCAATCAAAAGACCCGAAAATCTAATATCCAACTTTCTCTTCGAGAGAATGTTAATGTAACGTGGATCTAGTAGTTTCAAATTTGGTCACAATTGAGCTTATGTTGGAAATTATTTTCATCTATTCTAGTTGCTTTTTCTTCGGAACATAGATAAATTTCTTGTAAGAAAAAAATGACCTTGTTGTATATAAATAAATCAAGCATCTATCCTTTTCTAGTTTTAAAAGGCTAAATACGATGTACATCAATCGTTCATACTTATATTTCTGGACTATCGCTCTGATCATAGTTCATAGTCGTATTAAACAAACTATAAACGCAGTTGAAACGAAATGGCTCAGAAAACGTAGAAAGTGTCAGAATATCGAGGGTCGCAGTAAAAACGCCAAGTAACAGCTGTTGGAAGTGTAACCGTTTACGCAGCATCTTTGCTACGCATGTATTGGTAACCATAAACGTCCTCAATGAGTTCCCGAACATCTACGACAACCGCACGATGCGCATCTATCCTGCTCCTGACGACCTTAACACGATCTGTTAAAATTTTCCTTCGCCGTTGTCGTGCAGTAAAGACTTCTTTCCGATGTGAAGGGGGTATTTATATAAAGTAATGCCACAACTAATATAATTTGAGGTAATAAATATTGTTGTCCACCGTGTTTCTAATGAAATTAGGTATCTGCCTTTATATAAGGCAGGTTACCAATCACGTTCAGAAGTGTGAATCATTTACAGATATTTACATTTACAAATTAAAGTAGTCTGAAGTATTTTATTAAAAACGGATAGTCTCCCATCGTCCCTTTCAATTTCTTCTCTAGATTACAAGAGCGTTTGGAAATCAGTGATGGTAGTTTAAAGTGATAATACGTCTTAGAATTAACATAAAGTATAAGAGCCAGTAGATATACATGGTGTCATATAAATTCTATAATATGTCATAAATCCCCCCCCCCCCCCCTTCAAATGCCCCGTCCATGGGCTTCTTGATTTTGCCCTTCGGGCCTCGCCTCAGAGGGACATCTCTCACTTTTGCCCCACCCACCTTAGGTATACCTATATAGAATCATTGGCTAAATTCTCACTGTGAAATTTCGCAATTTCAAAACCTCATTTTGATATTACCCATTTCCCTTCTCTCTGCACTAAACCATTGTATAGTTATAAGCAATATTAATAACAAAATCATTCACCATTATTGCCAAGAACAATTTTGATCTTCCCTCGCCACTTCCAATTTTGCTAAAAACACAATTATTGTATTTAGCGATATTTAAAAAGGGGTCAATGATTACAAGTAACATGTCCCTAGGTTTGCAAGATTACACTCAACAAGAGTAGTCCCTTTGCCATCTCTTAGCTTCTGTACTAGGCCTACAGGCTTTACACATTTAATATCCTCGACAGTTGGAAAACAAGCAGTCACTGCAACATTCCACCTACTGCACAAGACATTGGTTGGTAATAAGTGGCACCAGTTGGTCAAGTTGTTGAAAACATCAATAAAATGAAGAATCTGTTTTTATCATAATAATCACATTATTTCGGCATTACCATTTAATAAATTTGAAATTACTGTTTTATGCTTCGATCGAAACAAATTTTAAGCGTTAGCGTTAGATATTTGTTGATCAAATTTGAGGTCAAATTAATTGAAGGCTAGTGTACTTTAAATAATTGTCAGAAGTATATTTGAGGACCGTGTTATGAATGATTTGTTTAAGATCATGATATAGAATTATCTCACTGTCTAATACCACAATGCGTTCAATATCATCACAATATTTAGACTGGCTTATTGATTTGTTTATTTAGACATTCACATTTGCAGTCATCTACACCTTCAGACGAGTCTGTTTCTCAGACAAACTGTATCTCAAGGCAGTGCACAAACTTTCAAAGCTTCACTTCAAAATTTGACAGACTTTAAGAAGGAGATGAATGAATTGTAACTGAGTTACTATAGATTATCAGTTCAATATTTTTCTTGTTTAGCCTGAAGCCGATTTCACCATGAAGTGTGAAAATGCATTGTCTGATAATAAAATAAAGTGAGAGAGACAGAGAGGGGAAACATTGATTATAGTTCAATATAATTAGAATGTAAAGTTGACTAGGCTTAGTCAAGCTAATTAGCGTTATATAAATCATATCAGCATTATGTACCCTTGGGTCTATAGATATTTAATTTCTAATGGAACAGTCTTTTGTCAAATATTTCAGTAGCGAGTTAAAGTGATTCTATGACAGATGAATAGTCTCCATTTCACTCACATGGTAGCCGCGTGTAATGAATTTTTATACAAAGCCAAATCAGCTAACGC